ACCACAACAAACCTGCCAAGAGAGGGCCGCCCACCAAAACTCACGGACCAGGCAAGGAGGGCATTAATCAGAGAGGCAACAAAGAGACCAAAGATAACCCTGAAGGAGCTGCAAAGCTCCACAGCTGAGATTGGAGTATCTGTCCATAGGACCACTTTAAGCCATACACTCCACAGAGCTGGGCTTTACAGAAGAGTGGCCAGAAAAAAGCCATTGCTTAAAGAAAAAAATAAGCAAACATGTTTGATGTTCGCCAAAAGGCATGTGGGAGACTCCCCAAACATATGGAAGAAGGTACTCTGGTCAGATGAGACTAAAATTGAGCTTTTTGGCCATCAAGGAAAACGCTATGTCTGGCGCAAACCCAACACCTCTCATCACCCCGAGAACACCATCCCCACAGTGAAGCATGGTGGTGGCAGCATCATGCTGTGGGGATGTTTTCATCGGTAGGGACTGGGAAACTGGTCAGAATTGAAGGAATGATGGATGGCGCTAAATACAGAGAAATTCTTGAGGGAAACCTGTTTCAGCCTTCCAGAGATTTAAGACTGGGACGGAGGTTCACCTTCCAGCAGGACAATGACCCTAAGCATACTGCTAAAGCAACACTCAAGTGGTTTAAGGGGAAACATTTAAATGTCTTGGAATGGCCTAGTCAAAGCCCAGACCTCAATCCAATTGAGAATCTGTGGTATGACTTAAAGATTGCTGTACACCAGCAGAACCCATCCAACTTGAAGGAGCTGGAGCAGTTTTGCCTTGAAGAATGGGAAAAAATCCCAGTGGCTAGATGTGCCAAGCTTATAGAGACATACCCCAAGAGACCTGCAGCTGTAATTGCTGCAAAGGGTGTCTCTACAAATTATTGACTTTGGGGGGGGTGAATAGTTATGCACGCTCAAGTTTTCAGTTTTTTTGTCTTATTTTTTGTTTGTTTCACAGTATAACATATTTTGCATCTTCAAAGTGGTAGGCATGTTGTGTAAATCAAATGATACAAACCCCCAAAAATCAATTTTAATTCCAGGTTGTAAGGCAACAAAATAGGAAAAATGCCAAGGGGGGTGAATACTTTCGCTAGCCACTGTACACTTCTGAATTTGGACTACCCCAATGTTGCCGGTCCCGTCCTCCCTGTGCATGCCAGCCTTCTCATGGTAATAGAAATATCTTGAATGACAGGAAACAGCCAGGTTATATACTCAAGGCCACGCCCATATTTACAATCAATCTTACACACCAGCTCAACAGTTCCACCCTCTTACAATAGCTTTTACAGTACACTTATCAGCATGCTTAGACTTAGAGATTCACCGGTACTTTTGTATACTTTTTAGCCAGTAGTTCTGAAAGTAGCACTCACGAGCCAGAAGTGGTCCCTGAAAATTGCGTACTACGTCACATATGTGCAGATATGTGCACCACGTCATTGCTCCATCTCTCGCTTTGATGTGTGTGCATCTGGCTAGCGGTCACTCAATTGGCGAGGGGCTGGAGCTCATTGGCTAGAACTCGAATGGCTAGGGGACTGGCCCACATGGGGGAAAATGGCGCAGCAAATCTTCCAGAAAAACAGTCGCTATCAAACTAGGGAGTTCGTGGCTAATTGAGGTAAGACAGTAATTATGCATATATGAACTACACATTGACACATCCCACTCAAAGTGGGAGGTTTAAAAAATACTTAATAGTCACCAAAGTTCCAGAGCATGTCTTTAATTATGAGTTTTACCTCAGTCCTATATGCTGCAGCTGACACTGTATCATGGCCTTTATGTTCATCCATAACATTGTTGTGTAGTTGTAAGATGCAGGGCTCCATTGCAAAAGGACAATGGAAATCCCTGTTAAAATAAAATAACACACAGATAAAAAGATACATTGTTGATCAGTATAACAGTAAACCTCCAGCAGTTTGTCATGACTAGAGCAGATCTGCTCCTGCAGTTGTGTGGAGGCTTTGACCAGCTTGTGCTTCTTAAATCCTGGAATTTCATAGTGAGGTTGGAGGCGAGTCTCGCAGTAAGACACCAGACAGGACGAGGGCTTTCTGCTTTCTGGTCCCAGTGCAGAAATCACAGGCCACATCTCCAGGTCCAGCATGACACGGAGCAGGAGGAAGAGCAGCCTGGAGTCCTGTCTTCAGTTTCTGCACCACCTCAGCCAACATCTTATTTTTCCTCAGAGCAGGCCTCGGAGTGAACGTCTGTCTACACTGAGGGCAGCTGTAGACGGCCTTCTGTTCATCCTGATCCCAGCAGCCCTCAATGCAGACCCTACAGTAACTGGGTCATTCCACAAAATGAGTGCCTTTTGATATTCGAAGTCGAAATTGTGCACAAACATTGAATTTTAAAAGCCTGTTATGTTAAATGGATTGCCCTTTATTATGAATAAAGACATGCTAAAGTGCCAAAATTCCGCATATTGACATGTCCCTCTGTGCATCCTCTGTGACTTCCAGGAAGATTTTAACCCACTTAACCCCAACATTTCTCCACGTTTTCACCATCATTGTAAAGTTATTTTGTTGCTTTGACGAAGTCATTTATGAAGATAATTATGCATTTCATGTTTTTAGTTATTAAATTTAAGGTAAAAAACAAACAAACCTGTCCCTCATTTTAAGGTCAACCCTGTTTTACGGTGAACTGAACTCTCATTTTAATATGGTAAAACTATTCCTTTTAAAATATAAATATTTTTAAAAGAGACATTGAATAGTCAAATCACAGTGTAAAAGCAAGTGAGCCATTTCCTGGTGTTTAGTGGTGGAAGACTGAGCGGTTAGAGTATAACACGTCAAACTTTTTTTTTGTGAAGCTTACATTCAATTGCCCCTCCCTGTTGCACACAACAAGATTCCATCCCCCAGTCACAAGGGGATTTATGGCTGATTTAAGATGAAGTCGTCAACCCTGTTACGGTCAACCCTGTTACTTTATTTGTCCCTTAAAGCTGCAATATTTAATTTCTTGGACGACCTGACCAAATTCACATAGAAATGTGTGTTATAGATCTGTCATGTTCATTGAAAGAGAGAGAGCAGATTAAAACCTTTATTAACCCCCTAAACAGTAGCATTTGTTTAATCTATTCTACACTCTAGATAGTGGATCTTAAACACTATACATCATTATCTAAAGATTTTATAGGAAAATTAAGCAAGTTACTGAGTAGATTAGCAATGCTGTTTGTTTGGCAAACAGTGTCATCAAGTGGACAGTTTTAAGATCAAATCATTGTGAAAAATAAATGCAGAGGAAAATGTTATAATAAAGCATCACATACACTACATGACCAAAAGTATGTGGACACCTGCTTGTCGAAGATCTCATTCCAAAATCATGGGCATTAATATGGAGTTGGTCCCCCCTTTCCTACTATAATAGCCTCCACTCTTCTGGGAAGGCTTTCCACTAGATGTTGGAACATTGCTGCGGGGACTTGCTTCCATTCAGCCATAAGAGCATTAGTGAGGTCAGGCAATGATGTTGGGCGATTAGGCCTGACTCGCAGTCTGCGTTCCAATTCATCCCAAAGGTGTTCGAAGTGGTTGAGGTCAGGTCTCTGTGCAGGCCAGTCAAGTTCTTCCACACAGATCTCGACAAACCATTTCTGTATGGACCTCACTTTGTGCACGGGGGCATTGTCATGCTGAAACAGGAAAGGGCCTTCCCCAAACTGATGCCACAAAGTTGGAAGGACAGAATCGTCTAGAATGTCATTGTATGCTGTAGGGTTAAGATTTCCCTTCCCTGGAACTAAGGGGCCTAGCCCGAACCATGAAAAACAGCCCCAGACCATTATTCCTCCTCTACCAAACTTTACAGTTGGCACTATGCATTGGGACAGGTAGCGTTCTTCTGGTACCCGCCAAACCCAGATTCGGCCGTCAGACTGCCAGATGGTGAAGCGTGATTCATCACTCCAGAGAACGCGTTTCCACTGCTCCAGAGTCTAATGGCGGCGAGCTTTACATCACTCCAGCCGACACTTGGTATTGCGCAAGGTGATCTTAAGCTTGTGTGTGGCTGTTCAGCCATGGAAACCCATTTCATGAAGCTCCCGACGAACAGTTATTGTGCTGATGTTGTTTCCAGAGGCAGTTTGGAACGCGGTAGTTAGTGTTGCAACTGAGGACTGACGATTTTTACACGCTATGCGCTTCAACACTCGGCGGTCCCGTTCTGTGAGATTGTGAGGCCTAACACTTCGTGGCTGAGCCGTTGTTGGTCCTAGATGTTTCTACTTCACAATAACAGCCCTTACAGTTGACCGGGGCAGCTCTGGCAGGGCAGAAATTTGACAAACTGACTTTTTGGAAAGGTGGCATCCTATGACGGTGCCCCGATGTAAGTCACTGAGCTCTACAGTAAGGCCATTCTACTGCCAATGTTTGTCTATGGAGATTGCATGGCTGTGTGCTCGATTTTATACACCTGTCAGCAACGGGTGTGGCTGAAATAGCCGAATCCACTAATTTGAAGGGGTGTCCACATACTTTTGTATATATAGAGTATGTAGACCATCACCTCTACCACAGTTTACATATCTCTGCAGTACCGTACCAATACCGCCCAAACTCAGGATAGAGGGGCTGAGTGAATGTGGTCTGGACTCTGTGGAGGAGGGTCATAGTGTAAGAGAAGGATACATTTTGTAGAAGGACAGAGTACCTGCCTTGTGATCCAGGTAAACTCCTACTCTGGGGCACAGAGGGCCTGAAACATTAGTCCTAATATTATTATGCATTAAACAATAACCACTACCAGAGCTGGCATCACTAGGGCACCATAAAGTCCAGGACTTGTCACCGCGTCCGAATCCGGAGTCGTAATCTCTTCTGGTGATGTCTTTATATGAGACTGCTATAAAAACAGACTCACCACTCCACCTTCCACTAACAGCGTCCAGACAGTTGTTTTTGCTGATGACCACTGAAACACACTAGTCCAGTAGCCATCTTGTCCGACCCTTCACCTTTGGGCCTAGGGTCACAGGCTGTCGTCGTGCCCGGGGGTCCAGGTGAGGTGAGAGGGGAAGACCAGGCCCCTCTCCAGGGCGTGGCATCTCCAGCGGTCCTCGTCCCCCTCGTGGGTCAGGTACCTGCAGCCCATCCTCTTCTCAAACTCCCTCAGGTCACACCACAACTGGAAGTCCTGGGGAGTTAAGGTTAGGGTTATGGTTACGAGTTAGAAGGGTTTGGTTATGGCTGTTGGTGTTGAGCTGGAATGGAGCTAGGGTTAGAGGGAAGAGGGAGAGTAGAAAAGGACATAAAGGGAGAGAGAAAGAGGTGTGAAATGTAGAGATGGCCTGTCAATGACTGGCCATTCATAATGGGTTACAAACTGGCTACCCTTCTCACTTGTTATAGGCTATACCCATTGCCTTACAAACTGCTCTGAGCGGTTTTCAGTTTCTTGTCTAATATGTCAGACACACAGAGATTTTTTTAAAATGTGATTTATCAGGGGGTGTTGCAGCACCCCTACTTCCCGCGGCTATGCTTACCACAGTAGGAGGCCATTACTTCTCTTGCTAGAACAAAAGACATAGGCTACCTGCTGCATACTGGTGCCAAAGAATCTGTCATTTCTACTTGTAGAATCGCAATGCTCAGCAGTGTCCAACAACTTGACTTTAAGCCAATCAGAGAGCACAAACCTCCACGTGGCAGGGAGCCAACTGGTGACAAGCAAAACTAAAAAGAACCTAAGGGTATCCCATGTAATCCTCCACCTTTTCATTAGAATTGTTCTAAGACATTAAAGCTGCATAATACTTGTTTTTTTCTAGAGTAAGTGTTAACTTTTTTTATTTTTGACATCTAGCTAAGGAGTTGTGCTTGAAGTAGTGTTTTTTTTTTGTTAGGCTTGATAATGTGCACTAGCTCATTAGTTAGCTAGCTAACGTTAGCTTGCTAACTGACCAAGGCAGTCACAAACACTTCATATGAAACGAATGGGGTGGTAAGTGCAGCACAATGCACACAACACTAAATGCTCTACTAAGCTAGCTATCTAGCAAGATGAATAATACATCATTTAATCCACTCTCCACTATCCCACACAGCCAGTGCCAGTTCGCATTCTAGCTAACGTTAGCATCGCCATTATTTTCCAGTAGCACAACATAGCTAGCTAGCTAGCTTCTCCACTGACTTACAGGCAGCTGCTTCATTCAAAAACGAATCCATTGGGATTTAATTATAATTTTGCAAGTTATCTAGTTGTGGCCATCTGGCTCATATCAACAAGGGCTTACTACAAATTATAGCTAGCTAACAACATTATTAGTGCATCTTGCTAGTTGGCTAACATTAGCTATCTACAGTAGGCACAAGCCCAACAAGCTACTGCCACCTTGTGGTGTGAAGTATTTTGACAATCGGATCGGTGGCGTATTTGTGAACAACAAAAAGTTAACTGCCAACAAGAGGTGCTAAATACCTCTCAGCAGTCAATATCCTTGGTGTGTCTGAGCCTTAAAGTGTTTATGTTAGGAGAAGTTGAGGTCTCTTACCTGTAGCCAGGGGTGTCCCATTGCTTTTCCCACACTGAACCTACGTCTTACTGCAACCTGGAGCAGGTTGTTGATCAGACTCACCGCTAGAGAGAGAGAGATGAGAACGTCATGAGAGACTGATTCTACCCCCTCACAGATAAAATGTTAGCCCAGGGCTATGGAAAGAAAATGATGTTTGAATGCTGATTGGTTTCTGCTCCCCGCCTTAGACAAAACACTAGGGGGAAACCCTGCTCACCCTCTAGTGTGATGTTAGCCCAGAGCAGGCGAGAATATAATTATCCTCTAGTGATATGTTAGCCCAGGGCAGGTGGGGGTACATACTTATCCTCTAGTGATTTGTTAGCCCAGGGAAGGTGGGGGTAAATACCTACCCTCTATTGTGATGTTTAGCCCAGAGCAGGCGGGGGTACAGACTTACCCTAAATTGAGATGTAAGGCCAGAGCAGGCGGGGGTAAAGACTTACCCTCCAGTGAGATGTTAGCCCAAGGCAGGCGGGGGTACAGACCTACTTAATATTTCTGAGGGAGACACTTTTGTGAAACAACCTCCCTGGGCGAGCCACCATACCCATAGGAGAAGGGGGGTTGAGGGGTCATGAAGTAAAATTGATACATACAGTCACCTCCAAAATTATTGGCATCCTTGATAAAGATAAACGAAAAATTATCAAAATACTGAGCTATATTATACGCTCAGAACAATTTGAAAATGATATTATTTTATACTAATACAATTGCCCAGAGAAAGAGATTTTCTTTAACAAGTAATAATTGTTATATCTCAAAAAGATAGGTCTCAAAATGATTGGCACTTCTTAAGAATCTTATCAAAAATGAAATCTGCATTAACATTCAACTTTAAGTTCATATAAACTTAAGGAACTGTATTGTGGCCTTCCATGGCTTCCTGTTTCACTGGGGTATAAAAATGAGGTACTACGCATGTAAAATCCATTTGTCATCCACCACCATGGGGAAAGGCAAAGAACTCACAAACGAAAAGAGACAAATGGTTGTTGACCTTCATAAATCAGGTACAAACAGCTAAAAAACTAAATACAGTATACCACTTACCACTATTAGGGCAATAATTAAGATGTTTAAAACCGCTGGAACAGTGGTAAACTTGCCTGGTAGAGGACACGTGTATCTTGTCCCAACGCATACTGAGGAAGATGGTTTGGGAGGCAAAGAAAAGTCCAAGGGCCACAGTTGGAGAATTCTAGAACTTGGTGGCATCTTGGGGTCACCAAGATTCCAAAACTACAATTAGACGCCATCCCCATTCCAATAGGCTCTTTGGAAGGGTTGCCAGAAAAAACAGTAAAATATGGTGGTGGATCACTGATGATCATTATGGGGCTCTTTTGCTTGCATTGGTCCTTCCAGGGGAATAAACTTACCCTCTAGTGAGATGTTAGACCAGGGCAGGCGAGGGTACATGAAGGCAGCGTTGGTGATCTGTTGTCTGATGTCCTCATCTTCGTTGAAGGGGAATGTTCCGCTCAGGCTGACGTACAGGACCACACCCACCGCCCACATGTCCAGCGAGCGGTTGTAACCATGACTACTGATGACCTCGGGTGCCAGGTAGGCCGGCGTGCCCACAACCGACCGGCGGAATGACTTCTCGCCGATGATGCGGGCAAAACCAAAGTCACACAGCTTTACCTGAGGGGAGAGGAGTTGCTGTGAAGCCTGATGGAAGGAGTAGACAGTCTTCACAGACAAACTGATGCACATGCACGCACACACAAACACACACTGACCTGAGGGAAGGGGTCTGGGGAGGCCAGCAGTACATTCTCAGGTTTCAGGTCACAGTGAGCGATGTGTTTGAAATGCAGGTATCGCAGGGCCTCTAGAATCTACACACACACACACACACACTAGTCTGTGAGTCAACAAGAAATTCAAAATCAACTGAATTTTACATATTGAGGTATGCATCAAATGTATTATAAAAGGCACTACTTTTCCCCCGTAGAGGCACTACTTGAATACCGCAGACTGTTGAAGAAATAGTCTATATCCTATCGCTATGTGGCCAGTACCTGTGTAACCAAGAAGCGTGTGGTGCGCTCTGGCAGTCGGCCCTTCTCATTGGACAGAATCATCTCCAGCATATCGCCATGTAGCTTCTCCATGACAATGAAGACGTGTTCCATGGTCTCAAACATGCCCTTCAGTAGAACTATACCGAGGTGGGACAGATTCTGGACACACGCGCACACACATATTGAAGGGGAAACAAATATGACAATGGGATGTTCATTTCGAATACTGTACCTCCCTGTAATACAAATGTAATACAAACACACAAATCCAGAACCTTCACCTGTAGAATTGCCTGCTCGTTCCTCAACTGTCTCTCCTGTTTGGTAGGGAAACGGGTTTTGTCGATGACCTTGATGGCCACTGGCCGACCAGACTGTCTGTGGGTGCCTGGGGACGTGAGCAGAATCTCAGCTAGCCAAGTAATACAATGATAATACCCTATATAATCTAGAAGAAACTCATTGCGCCTAACAGGTAATGGTAGAGAAAGTATTTATTCTAGTGTAACGTCAAACCCACCTCCATACACCACTCCGAACTGTCCTGAACCCAGCACCTCATCAGTGAAGATCTGATACACTGAGCTGACATCCTGAATGACACACACAAACATAAATACACACACACAAACATAAATACAAATCTGCGCAATACAAACAAATACAGTGTTACTTACTCATCTATCCATTTCAGACAATGAGACTCAAGAGCTCATACTCAATATCCATCAGTCACCCACCCCACACACTTACCGGTATTTTTCCATTCTGGGGTCCATGGTCTATAACAGAAATAGTTTTTTCTTTATCAGTCACCAATTGTCAATCTCACCATTGTTAAAGAACATGACCATGGACATGAACTAAGTCTAACATGCATAAGGATGATGCCAACTTTACTTTAAAACCTTTATGCAAAACAATGTGAGAGACCATCCATTGGCATTTCACTCAGAGCCCTAGAGAGTTTGGCCAACTGACACAGGACACCATGGAGGTGAGTCGTGGGAGTGGGCCCACAGAACGTTCACAGAACCCGCAATGACCAAACTCTCTTATTACTTGGCTCTGATGTCAGTCATTGGCATATCTCTGAACAATACTATAGTACCTCAGTCCAAACATGCTACCTCTCTGACTCACCTTGTCCCTGTTTGCCCACCTGCCCGCTGTTCTGTAGGGGCATCAGAGCCTGGCGTAAGGCGGTCTCCCAGGCCTGTCCGTCGCTGCCCGCCAACACACAGTATACCAGCGTGCCCGTCACCACTTCGAAGGAGTGGGCACTGTTGCCTGGCAACAAGGGGACAGACAGCTGGGCGGGGCCTAGTACCTGCAGCACCTCAGAAAGAGGAAGCTCCTAGAGAGGGGGGGAGGAATGAAGATAGAGAAAGGGAAATAGGAGAGGGTGCGGAGAAGGGAAGAAAAGGGAGAGAAAGAGTGAGAGAGGAGGGAGGAAGAAGAAAACATTTTGTTGATGTTTTATTTGGCCACAAGAGGTCAGTACTGTAGAGTTGAGGTGACTGACTGGCCTTGGTTTGGTAAATGCTAGAATGATAGATGGCTCTTTCTTCCCCATTGAACCTACCTTGTAGTACTTGGTGTTGCTCTCGTTCTGGTACAGAGTGATACTCTTCCAGTCCAATATCCAGTAATGACGTTTCCTCTGACAGAAACAACGGGAAAGTAAAGTGTAAGTGTTTTCTCTGTGTGTGTGTGTGTGTGTGTGTATGCATGCGTGCGTGTTCTCACCAGTGTGTCAGTGTTGGTGTGATGCAGTAGCCAGCCCTCTCTCAGTACTCCACTGGCCCGTCTTTTAGTGTGACGGACAGACTGGACTACCCGCATTAGAGGAATGTAACTACTGAAACACGGACTGAGAGGGAGGGAGGGAGGGAAGGAAGGAAGAAGAGATGGAGAAAGAGAGAACTTTTGACAACTTCAGCTACAACTTCAATGACAGACACTCATGTACTACATACTCAAATTATTATTATCATCAAAACTCATAATGGAAACATACTGAACTTGACATCCTATCATAGCCATTAAAAAATAATATCTTACATGATTGGTGGCTTGTTCTCAGCAAATGGGTCCTCAGTAGATGGCTTGTCGTCATAGTCTTCTAGTGATGTTATACTCAAGCTCATATCCTCCTCATCGTCCTCTGTTTCGTTCTTGTAGCCGAGACTGGACACTGAGTCTGTGTGTCACAACACTTCCTACATCAATATTAAGCTACTGAGGCACTGTTTGAGTCAATGTGAAGAATGGCAGTTCTACTGTCTTGTCAAAGCATGTACATGGAATGTATAATTTAAAGGACAATTTCACTTTTTATCAACCAAATCTTTATTTTTGATGTAAATGTCATAGAAGTGTCCAGACACTTTTTTTGTGATTTATTTTACTCGGTTTTGAGAAACTTACCCAACCAGCGATAGACTTCCTCATGTTTGTTCCGCAGTTGTAGGGGCACAGAAAAACATGAACAAAAGCACTCAAATACGTCCTATTATAAACGGCAACGGAAATAATCGCTAAACAAGTGTCTGGACACTTCTATAGCATGCCATTTACTTCAAAAATAGAGTTTAGGTTAAAAAAAAGTAAACTTTTCCTTTAAGCATGTTCGACATGGACTCCATTGGTTAATACGTTCAGTGGCCTGTCTTGCTCTGAGACCTTGTCTCTCACCTCCTTCCCTATTGGTGTTCATCCTCTCTCCAGGACAGTCAGAGGGGACCAGGGAGGACTCACAGCGACGATGGCAGTTCAGCTTACAGTCTGGAGAGAGAAAGCGAGAGAGAGCGAGAGGGAGAGGGAGTGTGAGAAAGAGAGAGGTCAACTTCAGTACATAAAGATTACTGACACAGAAATAACACAAAATGTGAAATCTGACCAAGTGATCGACATACCCGCTTCAGAAACGTACGATTAGAGAAAGCATCACCCCTAAATAAAACCTAAATATATCAGCTGCTCCCATAACCACACGCCCTATCTGAACTATGCCCCCTGACCCATCTCACCAGAGCACTGTAGGCCCTGGCGGAAGAGGCCTTTGAGGAGGTGGCGGCAGTGTTGGCACACGGTGGGCTTGGTGTAGCTGTGGATGTGGAAGGTGTGGGGCACCCTAGCCCTGCCCGCCTCACCACCCTTTCCCTGGCCCACCCCAAGCCACACCTGGTGATCTGTCCATGACGGGGGTCTGGACCTGGGCTTGGACATACTGATCTAGAGGGGGAGGTGAAGAGAGCAGAGAGGGAGGAGGGGGTGAGGGAGAAAAAAAAGAGAGGGAGATGAAAGGAAGGGAGGAAGGAAAAGATTGGGGCAGAAAGAAAGATAATAAGAGAGATAATAAGAGATTTCAGGTCTTTTTTGATTTGTTGCTGTTAGAATCACCCAATATTGCCCTGTAAAATAGTTGAATAGGTGCATCCATTTGAATACATGATAAGTGTTGCTGACGTAGAATTAAATAGAATGTATGCAAGTCTATGACATCAACCACGCCAGTGTATGTTTCTAAACACTTCTACATTAATATGGATGCTACTATGATTACGGATAATCCTGAATGAATCGTGAATTATGATGAGTGAGAAAGTTACAGAGGCATAAATATCATACCCCCCCAAAAATGCTAACCTCTCCTGTTATTGTAATGGTGAGAGGTTAGCATGTCTTGGGGGTATGATATTTGTGCGTCTGTAACTTTCTCACTCATCATTATTCACAATTCATTCAGGATTATCCGTAACCATGGTAGCATCCACATTAATGTAGAAGTGTTTAGAAACATTTTATATTCTTATTTACAATAAAAGTGACTCCGAAATGACACAATACATTATTTACCACTAATTTCTATTGGGTACAAAATAATCTGAAACACAACCAAAACAAACAGCAAATGCATCCAACAAGTTTGTAGAGACAAGATTGATGTAATCATTGCATGCTAGGAATATGGGACCAAATACTAAACTTGACTACTTTAACACACATGATGAAATTCGTCCCAATACTTTTGGTCCACTAAAATGGGGGGACAACGTACAAAAACTGCTGTAATTTCTAAACGGTTCACCTGATATGGATGAAGATTCCCTCAAATTAAAGCTGAAAGTCAGCCCTTTAACCTCATAGTCATTGTATCATTTCAAATCCAAAATGCTGGAGTACAGAGCCAAAACAACAAAACATTTGTCACTGTCTCGATACTTTTGGAGCTCACTGCATCTCTATGCATGCTGACCTCCTCTAGACTGCCACCTGCAGGTGTGGAGAGGGAGTGCGTCCGGGGCCTGCCAGGGGGGAACAGGGACAGGCTGGGGCCACACACACGACGCCGCGCACGGCTACAGTCATTAGGCAACTGCAGCGCACAGCGCTTATGGAAGTCTAACCCACAACCTACAGAGAGGAGGCAACTGCAAGAGAGAGAGCAGGAGCTAATAGAGAAGGACGACGAGAGAGTGAGAGAGAGAGAGGAGAGAGAGAGAGAGAGAGAGAGAGAGAGAGAGAGGAGAGAAAGGAGGGAGAGAGATAGGAGAGAGATGGAAGAGAGAGAGAGAGGAGAGGAGAAGAGAGAGAGAGAGAGAGAGAGAGAGAGAGAGAGAGATGTGAGACATAATTGAGACAGAATCTGAGAATTGCAAAATAGATTGAGGTACAAAGATAGATACGATTAAGAATTCAATGCAATTCAACATTCAATAAATACTGAAGTTGCACACTGTGATTAAAGATAGGATATATGGAAAAAGTTGTACTGTATCCACTTCCTTACCTTCACATTTTAACCCTTGACGTACCAGTCCCCACAGCATCTCCCCACAGTGGTGACAGAAGGTGGGGGTGCGATATGATTGGACAGCCAGGGAGTGTGGGCGGATCTTCATCTCTGTCACAGCAGCTGATCCTGAGTCAGATCAGAATAAGCAGATATTCTATCGCTATAGACTCAATAACCTAGGACGCTAATGCCTTGATCAGACCGACAGCATCATTGCATCAATGCTGTGTAATAATTTCTGCAGTCAAACTTTTTTCATTATGTAATCCAAAATGTTTGTGGATATGTGTGCAATAAATGTTCAACATTCACCTTTTACTACTATTTCTGTCAAGTCTACGCATACAATTTGATGCATACGTTGGATAAATCCAACGTATGCACCACATAGAACACGGAACACACTGCAACCGCCTCTGCAACACAATGCTGCAAGGCTCTGGTTAGAAAAAAAATAAAAAATTACAAAAATGCAATGACGCTGTCGGTCTGATCGAGGCGTTAAACTAGTAAGTAAGTAGACTCACTATGCGGGCCTCGGTCAAAAGTAGTGCACTATAAAGGGAATAGGATGCTACTTAAGACACGACCCCAGTCTGACCTGAGAGGATGACCTCTATTTGGTCGCCATCCTGCAGTGCATCCTGGTCCGTGAGTCTGTGGAGGAGGTGTTCTGAGCCAGGCTGGTGTCTGAACAGGAGGACCTTCTCCCCTACACCTACCACACTGCATTCTGGAGCCTAAAATACACAGACATAATCAATCAATCAATCAATTAGGGTTGTTGTCTTGTTGGAAGGTGAACCTGGTTCTGTCTGGTTTTTCATCCTGATATGCATAATCAAAAGCTTGCAGACAGACAGGCACTAGACAGACAGAAAGTGGGCGTTGAGTGAGGAGGAGGCCATTATAGAGAGAGAATGGTCATGGAACAATGTGAGGGATGTCAACCGTCGATGTCGTTAGATATTCAAATGTGATGGAAACAAGTTTGAGTGTGGGTTCATTTTCAGGCTTTCTGACCGTTTGTTTGTATGTTTGCTACCAAAAACAGGCAATGTGCAATTACCTCTGGGGGGATTTCCAGATTATTCACACAGACCACATACAGGTTCACACACAGTGAAGTATTCAGACCCCTTGACCTTTTCCACATTTTGTTACATTACAGCCTTATTCTAAAATGGATTAAATAAAACTATTTCCTCAGCAATCTACACACTATACCCCATAATGACAAAGCGAAAAACAGGTTTTTAGACATTTTTGCAAATTTATTATAAATAAAAAACATAAATACTTTATTTACATAAGTATTCAGACCCTTTGCTATGAGACTCGAAATTGAGCTCAGGTGCACCCTGTTCCATTGGTCATCCTTGAGATGTTTCTACAACTTGATTGGAGTCCACCTGTGGTAAATTCAATTGATTGGACATGATTTGGAAAGGCACACACCTGTCTATATAAGGTCCCACAGTTGACAGTGCATGTCAGAGCAAAAACCAAGCCATGAGGTTGAAGGAATTGTCCGTAAAGCTCCGAGACAGGATTGTGTCGAGGCACAGATCTGGGGAAGGGTATCAAAAAATGTCTGCAGCATTGAAGGTCCCCAAGAACACAGTGGCCTCCATCATTCTTAAATGGAAGAAGTTTGGAACCACCCAGTCTCTTCCTAGAGCTGGCAGCCCGGCCAAACTAAGCAATCGGGGGAGAAGGGCCTTGGTCAGGGAGGTGACCAAGAACCCAATGGTCACTCTGACAGAGCTCTAGAGTTCCTCTGTGGAGATGGGAGAACCTTCCAGAAGGACAACCATCTCTGCAGCACTCCACCAATTAGGTATTTAGGGTAGAGTGGCCAGACGGAAGCCACTCCTCAGTAAAAGGCACATGACAGCCCGCTTGGAGTTTGCCAAAAGGCACCTAAAGACTCTCAGACCATGAGAAACAAGTTTCTCTGGTCTGATGAAACCAAGATTGAACTCTTTGGCCTGAATGCCAAGCGTCATGTCTGGAGGGAACCTGGCACCATCCCTACGGTGAAGTGTGGTGGTGGCAGCATCATGCTGTGGGGATGTTTTTCAGCGGCAGGGACTGGGAGACTAGTCAGGATCGAGGCAAAGATGAACGGAGCAAAGTACAGAGAGATCTTTGATGAAAACCTGCTCCAGAGCACTCAGGACCTCAGACTGGGGCAAAGGTTCACCTTCCAAAAAGACAACAACCCTAAGCACACAGCCAAGACAACGCAGGAGTGTCTTCGGGACAAGTCTCTGAATGCTCGAGTGGCCCAGCCAGAGCCCGGACTTGAACCCGATAGAACATCTCTGGAGAGACCTGAAAATAGCTGTGCACCAACGCTCCCAATCCAACCTGACAGAGCTTTAGAGGATCAGCAGAGAAGAATGGGAGAAACTCCCCAAATACAGGTGTGCCAAGCTTGTAGCATCTTACCCAAGAAGACTTGAGTCTGTAATCACTGCCAAAGGTGCTTCAACAAAGTACTGAGTAAAGGGTCTGAATACTTTAGTAAATGTGATATTTCAGTTGTTTCTTTAGTATATAAATTAGCCAAAATAAAAAAATTAAAACGTTTTGCTTTGTCATTATGGGGTATTGTCTGTAGATTGATCAGGGAAAAACCCGATTTAATTAATTTTAGAATGAGGCTGTAAACTAACAAAATGTGAAAAAGTCAAGGGGTCTGAATACTTTCCAAAGGCACTGTACTCTTTGAAGAGGTAGGGGTTCAGATGTTTTCGGAAGATGGGCAGGGACTCTGCTGTCCTAGCTTCAAGGGGAAGCTGGTTCCACCATTGGGGTGCCAGGACAGAGAAGAGCTTGGATTGGGCTGAGTGGGAGCTGAGAGACCAGAGGTGACAGAACAGAGTGCTCGGGTTGAGGTGTAGGGTTTGAGCATAGCCTGAAGGTAGGGAGGGACAGTTCCTCTTTCTGCTCCGTAGGGAAGTACCATGGTCAAAGACACCTACACAGACACAGACATACACATACAGTACATTGCACGTATGCACACACACACACACACACACACACACACTTGTATAACTAACCTTGTGGGGACACACAATTCAGTCCCATTCAAAATCCTATTTTCCCAAACCCCTAACCTGTACCCTTACCATAACCCTAGCACTAACTTTAAACCTAACCTTAACTCTAAATCAAATCAAATTATAATTGTCACATGCGCTGAATACAACAGGTGTAGTGTACCTTACAGTGAAATGCTTACTTACAAGCCCTTAACCAACAATGCCGTTTTAAGAAAAATAAGTGTTAAGTAAATAAAAGGTAAGTAAAATAATAAAGAAATAACAAATAATGAAAGAGCAGCAGTAAAATAACAGTAACGAGGCTATATACAGGGGGTACCAGTACAGAGTCAATGTGTGGGGGCACAGGTTAGTCGAGGTAATTGAGGTAATATGTACATGTAGGTAGAGTTAAAGTGACTATGCATAGATAATAAACAGAGAGTAGCAGCAGCGTAAAAGATGGGGTGGGTGGGGGACAATGCAAATAGTCCGGGTAGACATTTGATTAGCTATTCAGGGGTCTTATGGCTTGGGGTAGAAGCTGATAAGAAGCCTTTTGGACCTAGACTTGGCGCTCCGGTACCACTTGCCGTGCGGTATCAGAAAAAAGTATATGACTAGGGTGGCTGGAGTCTTTGACAATTTTTAGGGCCTTCCTCTGACACCGCCTGGTATAGAGGTCCTGGATGGCAGGAAGCTTGGCCCCAGTGATATACTGGGCTGTACGCACTACCCTCGTGCCTTGCGGTCGGAGGCAGAGCAGTTGTCATACCAGGCAGTGAACCTAACCCTAGCTTGAGCAGGGAGAGGTGTGTGTGAACGTGCATGCATGTGTGTGTGTGATGCAGGAGGGGAGGCTGTGGTTGGAAAGTAAGCTGTAGACACAGCTAAACCACACAGCAGCCCCTCTGGCTGACACAGTAACAGGGCTATCTCTCACTGAGGTGTGGTAGGGACAGACAGACAGACAGACAGAGAGAGAGCACGAAAGACAGAGGGAGCGAGAGAGATAGAGGCAGAGAAAGACAGATTTAGCCAGGGTTGTGGGTTTGATTCCCACGGGGGGCCAGTATAAAAAAAATAATGTATGCACTCACTAACTGTAAGTCGCTCTGGATAAGAGCGTCTGCTAAATGACTAAAATGTAAATGTTTAATTACTGTATTGCATCACACCAATAGTTAAATGAATTGGCTAAACTACTCTAGACTGGGGGGGGGCTGGCTGGGGATGTTTACCTTGCGTTCTATGATCTCTGCCGCCAGTCTCTTGGCGTGGCGAAAGCTGAGCTGTCCTCCATGCACCCATACCACCTCCCTGAAGAGGCCTAGCTGGAACTGGACCAAGACAGGGCCGAGAGGGGCCTGGAGGGGCGCGGGGGCGGCGGGGTGGGGAGGTCGACCAGAGGTACCTGGGCTAGATGGGGTCACTGACATGCTGGAGAGAGAACCTATAGGTGCAGATAGAGATATAGATAACGTTAGAGAGGTATGACAAATACAGCGGTGCACTTATAGGAGAGAATTAAAAGATATGTCACGAATAGAAGTACTGATGGCTCATGGATGCACAGGTACACTTCATATAAAAATAACATTTATTCATATAGCACATTTCCTACATACACAGCAACTGAATGTACTTCACAGGCACTGAGCTTGTCAATAAGTGAACAAAATAACAGAGCATATTGACGTACTAGATTTTCTGTTCTAAGTTCAATCAGACTAACATGGCTACCGAGATACTGCACAGTACTTTTGGTGAGGGAAACCGCCTTACTTGATAATTCAGAGTCCATACAGTCTAGTTTACACCTTCCGGGCATTAAAAGATCCATCTTAGCAGCCCGATCGCCTGTCCTTGTTCAAAAGACACCTTAACAAATTAACAGTAGTTACTGTTCTTAACCATTTCTTCAGAAGCACACTGGTGGATTTGGTTTCCTCATGTGAGGCTGTAGGCTTATAAGTGACAGGAAACCACTGAGTAACACCCTCAGCCCAGAATGTGAGCACACACACAGACGTCAACCTGATACTTACCAGAAGCCTGGTCCACCATTATCATTTATCCAATAAATGTCAAACTCGTTTATTGGTTTATGTGGAGTACAACTTCATCTCGTGTTCCAGTATGCCCCTAGTTATACATGCAAGATGTGCATTTCAAACTCATTTCAAACAAGCTGTTTCATTGTGTCAAAAGAATGACACCACACAAACAGATCAGGATCAGTTTGAAAAGTTTTTCTTTATTGAACCTTTAATAAAATATACAAGGTTGTTGGCCCCTTAACAATGAGATACGATATACTGAAGTCGAGTGCATCACATACCCCTATCCCTCCACCCCATGGCTATGTTCTACAGTTCCCATAGTAACACACTGACTCACAGATGGTGAGCGGTGTTTTTACTTCTACATGTGGTATATATTTGGAAGAGAAGCAATGCGTTTAGGTATATGTGTATTTTTCATTTAAACATTCGTTTGTGTATAAATACAGCATCTTTAGAGATCTATAAACTACAGTCCACTGACTTTTACATATCTAGACTGCGTGGGGATGGATGTAGGCGTGTGTTTGAAATAATGTGTTTGTACATGTTGAGAGTAAGTTTGAGTGTGTGTGACAGCGACAGAGGTCATACATTGGCAATTCTGTACATTATTTGCTGCATTGAAACAAAGCACTTTCCCCAATACTTCTCTCCAATGTACCATTTCTTTTTAGTCACTGATTCTCACTTGTCACCTAACAGCACTTCACATCTCTTTCCGCTTATCATTCTTCAGTCTTCTCTTCCTCAGCCCTGCTAGTCTGTATGTCACACACTTTAGGTTTTGTTCCATAATTTCTCTCCTCCCAGTAAAAATCAACATTACATCCCATCCCCATTCCCCACATCACAAAGCACTAGCAACACAATCAGGAGCTGCAAATCGTTAAGACCACTCTCCTTCTCAAAGACATACAGTAATATACATTCTGGGGCCAAGTCTCTTGGTATCAGTCTTACAAATAAAACAATTAAAGAGCCAACACAACACAGTGCACTGTCAACCCCCTCCTTCCAGTTCCTCCATCCCATCTCCCATGATAAAAGTAAAACCCAACATTTAAATCATCAACCATTCAGTGTACAACAATAATACCCTGCACATCTTCACTTGAGGTTGGAGCCAATCACAGACAAGAATAGACCTAATGATGACAACGTTTGGTGAGAGGACGGTCATTGATTAGCTCATCCTAAAGCGGTTTTCTGTAAACCAATCTGATTCATTCCAATCAACAGTAGTGATAATAAGGGATCATTGTTTTATATAAAGAGATGGACATATCATGCTCACATATTCAGTAAACGCCAACCAAGGAAAGAGAACAGAAGTTACAAGAACTAGAAGCATTGATAGTTACATACTGTTTGCCCAACACTAACCTCTTAAAGAAACAGATACTGTAACTCTCTAAACTAATCAGAGAGCTGTACAACTATGTGGAGATCTAATTTGATTGGAGTAAAATTGTGCTGTGGTAGCGGTGTCCATGCATTCCATACTGTCTGGAGATTGTACTGCACAGTGCCTAAGGGCTACATGCACTGTTAATGTTTGTCCCATGTCAGCATTTCCCCCAGGACTGAGCTGAACTAAGTTAGCCTACACTCTAAAAATGAGGGGATTCAACAAAGCTTCTTCTAAGATCCTCAAAGTTCTTTGAAGAACCTTAGGGTTTTTGGGACTGACAATTGCCCCCAAAAGGTTCTTCCAAGAACCCCATAGGAGGTGGGGTTCATCGAGGAAACCCATTAGTTGGTGGGGGTTCTTGCAAGAACCTAACTGCCCAACTGAAACATTTGGATTTGAATTTGAAAGGACAGCAGGTGCAGGCACTTAACTGAAAAATTTAAAGATCTCCACAATTTAAGGTAAGGTTTGTCCCTTGTATGATCTAAATTGATATTGTTTTATGATGATACCATCTCTTTTCATATTTGTGCAAATCTTTCTAAAACATAAAATGGATACAATTCAATAGATATCAATCAACAGAGGTAAGAATATGTATGCAATTAGTATATGTTGAAGGCTAGCTGTATTGGGTGCAGATGACTGAACTGCTCACTTTTGTGTCTGTAGGTTTACAGACGAGGAGGCATACAAATGTATGTCAATTGGTATTGGTATGTTATGCAGATCACATGTACAATCCTCTTCCCTTACCTCTTCAAGGAAAATCCCATAGGCCTCTACATTATGGACAAGGTATGTGTATGAAAACCATTATCAAAATAGTTTTATTCATTCACATTTACCACAAAAGCCAAGGTATGAATACTGTAATGTGCATGTTTTGTTAATCATCTATATAATTACTATTTTTTGGGATTCACAGACTTCACCCTCCCTACACCTCTGATGAATATAACAGGAAACCTGTTCGATCACCATGCACTGCAAAATCATTCTGGCTATGGATACAGAGAACATCAACATGCCAGAGGATATACCCATGGACTTGGGGCTCTGCTGGGAGTTTACCTTATATTTTGATTTTTTTATTCAGCTTTGCCACTAAAATCCTAATAAACACTGACAACTAAAATATTGTGTTATTGTTGCTATTGTTAAGCGTATTATTAGTATTAATAATAATAATAATAATAATAATAATAACAATAATGGGGGGGGGATCCTGAAACTGGTTCCCCCCCAGTTTCAATTTGAAGAACCCCTAAAGGATCCTCCAGGTACCTTTACTTTTTAGAGTGTAGTCTCATATTCATTTAGTGCACATCGTAGAAAAACTTTTTGGAGCGACAGAAAATGAGCATTTCTTATTGAAAAAGTCCAGGTTGTCCCTCCCTGTTTCAGTCCATTTTCTTCAGTTTGGTGCCTAATGAATACGAACCTGGTCCCAAATCTGTTTGTGCTTCTGCCACCTCTTAGGCTGCGTTCACACAGGCAGCCCAATTGATATTTTATTCACTAATTGTTCATTTGACCAATCAGATCAGCGCTGAAAAAGAGCTGATGTGAAAATATCTGATGTGATTGGTCAAAATACCAATTGGTGGAAGAAATATCAGAATTGGGCTGCCTATGTAAACACAGCCTTATTTATCACGTTCAGAATTGTCTGGCAAGACAACAAATGATAGTGTAGTTGGCTAGAGTACAAACAAATCTGGACAGATCAGGATATAGATTTAGGGGCAAATCCTAACTTCGGCTTAAGTAACATTTTCACTTGATGTCAATGAGACTAAGTAATACATTCGACTAGAAGTTATTTCCCCCCGTTTATCTCCTCTTCACTAGTCTATATTCCCTGTTTGACTTCTCTTCACTATTTTACACTCACCGGCCAGTTTATTAGGTACACCACCCCGTTCACGAAAATGAATCGCTCCTACAGACAGTGAGTCACGTGGCTGTGGCTTGCTACATAAAGCAGGCAGACAGGCATCCAGTTACTGTTCGAATTAACGTTAGAATGGGCAAAACGAGTGACCTAAGCGACTGAGCGTGGAATGATCGTCAGTCAGCGGCGAAAACAGCTCATTGATGAGACAGGAGAATGGCAAGAATCATGCAAGCTAGCAGGCGGGCTACAAACAGACAAATAACAGCGCTGTACAACACTGGTGTGCAGAACGGCATCTCGGAACGCACAACTCTTCGATCCTTGTCACGGATAGGCTATTGCAGCAGATGACCACACAGGGTTCCACTCCTATCAGCTGGTCCAACGAATCCCAGTTCCTTTTGTGTGATGCTGATGGCTGGTCTGGTTTTGGCGTAAGCAGCATGAGTCCATGGACCCAAACCTGCCTGGTGTCAACAGTACAGGCTGGTGGTGTACTGGTGTGCAGCGGCTCCAGTGGGCCTGTGATCACCAACACTAGACAATTGAAGAGTGGAAAAACATTGCCTGGAACATGACAGTGAGTTCAGTTTACTTGAGTGGCCTACGCAGTCCCCAGACCTCAACCCAAGAGAGCAGGGCTAGGCAACCCTCGTCCTGGAGTGCCGCAGGCACTTTATATTTTTGATTTAACTGACCTGGAAGACCAGGTCTGTTGAATTTGGGCAATCACTGAACTGATCAATTAGCTTGGTCAGGGGTGGTGCCTAGTTGAATAAAAATCCTGCAGTACCTCGGGAACTCCAGGAACAGGGTTGCCTACCTCTGCAATAGAGCATCTTTGGGATGAGATGGAACGGGCCGCTCGCAGCATGAATGTACCCCCGTCCAATCTGCAGCAACTGCATGATGCCATCGTGTCAGCACGGACCAACATCCCTGTGGAACGTTTCCGACACCTTGTAGAATGCCCCGAATAATTCAGGCTGTTCTGGAGGCAAAGGGGGGGTCCGACACGGTACTAGATGGGTAATCTAATAAACTGGCCAGTGAGTATATATTCTCCCTGTTTCTCTTCACTTGTCTGACTACATTCTTCCAGCGTCTGTCTCCCCAACGAAGGTCGTCCTATGCTCTAACCAGTGTAAACAAAAACTGTCTGTGTGCTATATACAAAGAAAGACATATTAAATAACTTAAGCCAGTATATACATAACAAAAATTCAGAAGGCAAAAAAGTGAGGTTGACCTGGTCAGTGCTGTTTTTCTCCCATTTGATGTTTAAAACACAGACGTACTCTGATTATTTACATCATCCCAAAAATATTGTGTACCGTCTTTGTCCTTGCTGAAGCTTCTTACAGCTGTAGTTCATACCTCTTGTAACTCGTCTTAAAAACCTATATGATTTCTATCGCTCTAGCACTGTGATATCTATTGAATGGGTTGTTAGCATTTGCAGTAATCATGCCACTAGTAATCTATGAGTGTGATGCTTCTTGAAGATAGAAATCAGAATAGAACTAGCCTACCTAAGGTAGAGTGTCTGCACCAAGTAGGCAGTCAGGATAGACATTTGTCATGTTGCAATAATAATGACTCGCTATTCTGTTACGATGCTATGCCTCAGTCACCATAATTAGTGCAGACATTCCATGTTCTAGTAAGCAGCATGCCGTGTTAAATATTATTTTTCTGTACTTGCTTGATGCCAGCGAAGTATACAGTGAAGCAGATCGACCCAGAGATTTCTGTGTCACAAAAAGCCATGTCAAGTCGTGTCTTTCTCGATCATTTTTCTTCAGAAAATATGTATTGAATGCGAGTGTCGGACCTGAAGTGTGTTTTGATCGCATCGGACGGAAAACAGTCTCTTCTCATTGGCCCTTCCTCCTCCTAGTCCCGCCTCCTGTCTGTTTAACCAATCAGGGAGCTGCGTCTTGACAAGTCCACGTTGCTGGCGCTCAGTCCTCTGCATTCCGATAGGCCGGTGTTGGCATCCTGGAGAGATTAGGAGGGATGTTCCAAGTGTGATAACGGAGAAAGAAAAAAACAAAGACACTAGAATCATGTAGACTAAATCTGAAAAAGTCTAATCCTTTCATCTAGATGTATACCTCAGGACTTGTTTGTGCTCTGTCTGTGACAGCAGTCCTTGGCTCGTAACTAACAGGTTAATAACTATATGTGACAGTGAGGGGGTTAACTGTGTGCTGCTGGTACCTGTGAGGGGTCTTCTGCACTCTTGTTGAGGAAGTTGAGAGAGCTGGCTCTCGTCATCCTGAAGATGACACAGACAAACGTTTAGGCTTCAATAAAAAAAAAAATTAATTGCTTGGATTTTGCTTTATTGTTATCAGTTTACTAACTACTGTGCCTAGTTGGCTCCCCACAAAAGAAAAAACCCTGAGGGAAACACTGAAATTCATGCACAGTATGAGCAGTGATGGGCTAAGGACACACAGTCTCTCTCTCACCCTGGGTTGCGGGGCTCCTGGGGGCCACTGCCCTGTAGTTTCTTCACCAGCATCTCACTGCTCCTGCGCAGGGCGTCACGGATCTTCCCGAAGGAGCCGCTCCGACGCAACAAACCATTACCATCCTGAGAAAACAAGACCAACATACCCCGTCAAGGATTGGCCTCGAAACATAAATCAAAAGTGATTTGAGGTAATTTATTATTTCAAAACCTTGATCATATCTTCTATCAATGTATTTGACAAACATCACACCACATTTTTTATCTTAGCTTTTTAGCATTTTTGTGTAGAGTTTTGCTGAACGCATACAGGTTTAATCACGATGTCAGCTTGTTCATTGTATTGTTTCATCATTTTACCCGTCTTTGCTAGTTCTTGATACTTTGGGAGTAAATTACATGTGATTGTACGCCTTTTCGTCATACATTTGACGGTATGTGCACTCCCATAAAAGGCTCAACCCCCCCCCCCCAAATGACAGACCCCGTTCCACTCTGCTCCGTCGTCTCCCTCACAGTCCCCCCGCTGGGGACCATTAAAACCCTCCCGGCTCTGCCGTCGCTCCCCCCCTCCAGGGACCCCATCCTTCAGGAGCTCCACAACCTTACTCTGGTTAATGGCATCTATACCCTGCGGGAGAAGGAGGGGGGAGGGAGAGAGAGGGGGGAGAGAGAGGGGGGAGAGAGAGAGAGGGAGAGAGAGGAGAGAGAGAGAGAGATTCTAAATGTCAGCTGGTTTAAAACAGAGTGCATCAGAGCTTCAAGGCTCTAGACCACAGCCGTGGGTAATTGCACTGCCAGTGTATCTGAGTGCTTCTACCTGCTTTTTCAATGATTGTGTAGTAATTACCTTTTTACTGATTGTATAGTACCTGCTTGCGTCAGTGATAGTGCAGTACCTGCTTACGCGTCAGTGATAGTGCAGTACCTGCTTATGTCAGTGATCATGCAGTACCTGCTTGCGTCAGTGATAGTGCAGTACCTGCTTGCGTCAGTGATAGTGTAGTACCTGCTTGTGATAATCTAGTACCTGCTTGCGTCAGTGATAGTGTAGTACCTGCTTGCGTCAGTGATAGTGTAGTACCTGCTTGCGTCAGTGATAGTATCTGCTTGTGATAGTCTAGTACCTGCTTGCGTCAGTGATAATGTAATACATGGTTGCGTCAGTGATAGTGTAGTACCTGCTTGTGTCAGGGATAGTCTAGTACCTGCTTGCGTCAGTGATAGTCTAGTACCTGCTTGCGTCAGTGTAGTACCTGCTTGTGTCAGTGATAGTGTAGTACCTGCTTGCGTCAGTGATAGTGTAGTACCTGCTTGCGTCAGTGATAGTGTAGTACCTGCTTGCGTCAGTGATAGTCTAGTACCTGCTTGCGTCAGTGATAGTGTAGTACCTGCTTGCATCAGTGATAGTGTAGTACCTGCTTGCGTCAGTGATAGTGTAGTACCTGCTTGTTATAGTGTAGTACCTGCTTGCGTGTCTTTGTAGCACACTCCTCCAGTGTCTCCGCTGCCTCTAGTTTACCCTGTCTGCGGTACAGTGCCCCCAAGCTCTTCAGGGTGGTATTGACCGTTGGGCTAGCAGCAATTAAGTACATGTCAATATCATGTCATCATTACGGAAGAGAGGACACACTGTGAATAAAAAAAATATTCCCTCGTAATGTCGAGATCACAATTTATTTATCTCATGATCACGACATAACAAAAGTTGTTTCGTCGAGATCACGAGATAAACTCTATAAATAGGAGTGGATAAATGGATGATAGATTGCCAGTATGGGCTGAGACGGCAGAGCCCACGGTGGATCAGCGCATAGATTTTATTGATTGCTACACTAAGGGATGGTGCATTTCATTCTAACATCATAATTGCATCTGTGTTTGGAGCTCATTAACAGTTTATAAGAATGTTAGCAAGCTAAATGTCCCTTACCTTGAGCTAAGAGCTCGTAGGGGAGCTAAGCCCTTGTGGGGCATTTAAGCCCTGAATGATGCCTGACAGGCAGCATTGTCTTCCAGGCTGTGTGCCACCCCCAAGACCACAGCCAATCATATGCAAGCAACAACGCAGCTAACTTGGCTAGTCTTGTGAGCAAGCGAGTGCGTGATCGAGCTAGCTAGTTAGTCTTGTTAGCTAGATAGCTAGCTTGTTATCTATGCTGGTTGTTAGCTTGCATAACTGATATGTGTATAATTGTAAAGGAAACATCATGTTTTATGGATAATATTTACATTTACAGAGTGGGTGGGCCCCATTTCTGACAGGCATATTAACAGTCAGGGCATTATGTATATGATCAAGAGTGGGTGTGCTCTATTCCTGGCAGGCTGATCAGATTCAATAGCAGTCTCAGGATGCTGCCTCGTTGGCTGTCTGCAAGGAGCCTTACATATGAAACAGCCTACAAGGCAGCATCCTGATTTATCAGCCTCTGAGGCTGCTATTGAATCCGATCAGCCTGCCAGGAATAGAGCTCCCCCTGGATCAGATATGCATTTGCCTATAAAGCACTTTGACAGCTAATCTGCCTGCAAGGAGCCTTACCTATAAAACAGCATAAAAAGGCAGCATCCTGACTTATGAGCCTCTAAGGCTGAAATTGAATCTGATCAGCCTGTCAGGAATGGAGCTCACCTATTGTAAATATGTCCCTTGTAATTATACACATATCAGTTATGCAAGCTAACAACCAGCATAGATAACAAGCTAGCTTGCTAGCTGGCTAGGTAACAAGACTAGCCATTTTAGCTGCATTATTCCTTGAATGGGATTGGCTGTGGTCTTGGGGGCGGCACGCTGCCAGTCATGCATCGTTCAGGGCTTAAATCCCCCACGAGCGCATTGCGATCAACGCAGCCAGTGGGCTCCTTGATGAGGTGGTTATCGTGCATCTGAACAAATGAATGAATGATGCGCGGTACTTTTGATTATCTCGTGATCTCGACAAAACAACTTTTATTATGTAGTGATCATGAGAAGTTGTGATCGCGACATAAATGAGGGATTTTTTAAAAATGTATTCATATGTCCTTTATGGACTTCCGTAAATTATTAAAGCACAATATTAATATAATTTAGAACACGGAGTTGTGTATTTATCTCACGTTAAAACAATTAATTTGGAATACTAACTCACCTGTCAACTTTGCAGGCCTTGTACCAGCTCCCATATTCTCCATAGGGCACAGCATCCTTCCTCTTCCCCTGAGAGAGAGAGAGAGAGAGAGAGAGAGAGAGAGAGAGAGAGAGATGCTGTTAATGGTAATCCCATTTCCAATACTACTATTATTATTATTATTGCTGTTGGGCCCACCATTTTTGTTATATCTATACTTTGACAACGTAAGTAATTTTACTTGCCATGTCAATAGAGTCTATTGAATTGAATTGAGAGAGAGAGAGAGAGGGGGGGGGGGGGGGGGCAGGCAGTTATAGTCCAGCGGCTAAGGGAAAAAATTGTGGACTTTGTGATAAAACCACAACATTTCAAACACAACTAGGGCAAGTCCTTCAAAGTGTTTTTAGCTATAGTGCCACCGCAGATCTTTTATATTACCCCACTGGCCGCCATTTCCATTATGGCCACCAATCAGCTCCATGGGGCCATATCTCCATAAATAATAGGTACGTACAGCCCAATGACGGCTTAACATGTTTGAGGGAGTCTGGAGAACACAAGAAAATGGCTCAAACATGCCATATATACACGCATCGGCCACTTTATTAGGTACACCCATCTAGTACCGGGTCGGACCCCCCTTTGCCTCCAGAACAGCCTGAATTCTTTGGGGCATGGATTGTACAAGGTGTTGGGAAGCAACAATATTCAGATACGTGTGGCGTTCAATCGTTGCTCAATTGGTATCAAGGGACCTAACTAGGGTTGGGCGGTTTCCAGATTTTCATATGGTAATACAGTCCTTCTCTCATTCTGGGATTTACGGTATTACCGGTTTAGTACACAAGGGAGCACCAAAACGCAAAAAATACAATTTGGCATTTGTTACCAGAATGCTAAAAACATTAGCACAAATAGCGAATGTCCATGGAGGCTGCTTGCTAAATATGCTAGCGTGCGCAAACGAAAATACACGAATTGCAAAGACAGGCAATCCAGCTCATAAAGTTATACATATATAGGTAGAAGCTACCGAATGTCGTTTTGGTTAGTTTTGTTGGGATTTGTTTTCTAATAATTGGATTGAAGTGATGAATAGCTTAGAAGGAATGCATTAATGAGGAGCATAGGTTTGTACTATACTGATATAAATTGTTTCACATAACAGGCTGTGATTCATGTGTGGAACGTTAGGGGAAGGACAGATAAGACTTGTATTTCTTACAGATACGAACACTGCCTCTTTGTTGTCTGTGAACCGTTGTCTGTGAACCGTCCTTGGATGTAGGAACGTACAGTCTTTTGGGTGCTGACTATTATGATAGCAACTTATGCCTGGGAACGGTGGAGCGCCAAGGGGTGGGACTAACCCGTGCGCCAACGGATTGGCTGAGTGAAGTCTAAACCACACTCAGTCCTTTACTCTGATTGGCCAACAGAAGAGGTGGGAACTCTCTGTCAGAGTATTTGAGAAAGTACCTGTAAACAATGGTTTAGTTCTCTGAGTGCCCTGCGAGGTATTTCAGTGGACCCGTATATACGAACCTTCATACTTATCATACATACATTTTGCATATAATAAATTAAGCTTGGATTGAAGATCTCTTGATTCTTATTCCAATACCAGATTTGAATTACGCAATTTCTAACAATTTGGACATTTACAAGCGAATGTGAACGAGATACATCGTGCAAATGAACAAAGTTGATGCATGCTTCTCTGCTCTGAAGCAGCATGTGCACACGTTGTGTCTGTCTGGAGTCACTAGGGCAACCGGCCTGCTTTGCTCAGAGATGTGGGAGCAGTCAGGCCGAGAACAGAGAGGAGAAAAATGCAAGGGAAATCAAAAGACAGCAGTGGCAGCTGTACAGATAACTCATCCAACGGGCATTGACTTTTCAAACACGGCAGAAAGCTTACACAATATGATTCCCTGTCACTTTAATTCAGTAACTTACTTAGATAACTAGCTAATTAAAGTTAGGGGTCGCGTTAACGCAGAGTTCTTCATTTTTCACGCAGGAAAAAATGATAATACGTGTAAATAATCTCATGCTGCGTTTTGTGAACGCAGATCTAAAATGCTTCTTATTGTAATTTCTACTGAGCATCAGACAGATGTTGTGCTTCAGTTGCACTTCTCCACTAAGATGATAATTCACCAACGGCCATTGTATCAGCAGACAGCGCTCTGACTGATATGTAGCTTTTTTCTCCGCTTTTCTCAGTGTAGCCAACCTACCTCCGGTAAAGGTTAAGCAAAACATTAGGAAATGTAGCCGGCTACATTATTTATATGATAAACATTAGAAATATGATGGCAATGCTTCGTTTTTGCAAAAAACGATTTTACTTGTGGCTGCCAGCCAAATAGTGTTCCACTTCTGTTCATGAAAATGAAGCTATTTTCTGCCTAATGTGTTGCACTAATGTATTTTCTGTGAAGTAATACTATAGTTGCACACACCTGATCACTATTGAAGCAAAAAAATACGACTTTCAAAACGCGAACCCTGTCAATACACAGCTGGGCTCACCTGTTGTGCTATTTACAAAGAAACACGTGAATGGCTCAACTGTTCTGGGGAACTATAAGCTTCATAATGTAAAACAATGTAATAATATAATAATAATATGCCATTTAGCAGACGCTTTTATCCAAAGCGACTTACAGTCATGCGTGCATAATTTTTTTTTTTTGTGTAGGGTGAAATGAAGAACGTGCTGGATCTCTTAACGCATGGCACAAGTTGACTGCAGGTATTTACTTAAAAAGTAGCTACAAATATTAAAATCTATTAATACATCAAATACATAATTTCAAGGGTATTGAAAAACCTTTGTGGCTATTTCCAAATACACCGGTATATTGTATATACGGTATATCGCTCAAGCCTAGACCTAACGTGTGCCAGGAAAACATTCCCCACACCAGTCCACCACCAGCCTGTACGGTTGACACCAGGCAGGTTTGGGTCCATGGACTCATGCTGCTTACGCCAAAACCTGACCATGCCATCAGCATCACACAAAAGGAACTGGGATTCGTTGGACCAGACCATTTTTTTCCACTCCTCAATTGTCCAGTGTTGGTGATCACATGCCCACTGGAGCCTCCTCTTTTTGTTTTTAGTTGATAGGAGTGGAACCCGGTGTGGCGGTCTGCTGCAATAGCCCATCCGTGACAAGGATCGACGAGTTGTGCGTTCCGAGATGTCGTTTCTGCACACCACAGTTCTACTCCGCTGTTATTTGTCTGTTTGTGGCCCTCCAGTTAGCTTTGCACGATTCTTACCATTCTCCTTCGACCTCGCTCATCAATTAGCTGTTTTTGTCTACAGGACTGCTGCTGACTACAGTCGTGGTCAAACGTTTTGAGAATGACAAGTATTGGTCTTCACAAAGTTTGCTGCTTCAGTGTTTTTAGATATTTTTGTCAGATGTTACTATGGTATACTGAAGTATAATTACAAGCATTACATTAGTGTCAAAGGCTTTTATTGACCATTACATTAAGTTTATGCAGAGTCAATATTTGCAGTGTTGACCCTTCTTTTTCAAGACCTCTGCAATCCGCCCTAGCATGCTGTCAATTAACTTCTGGACCACATCCTGACTGATGGCAGCCCATTCTTGCATAATCAATGCTTGGAGTTTGTCGGTTTTTGTTTGTCCACCCGCCTCTTGAGGATTGACCACAAGTTCTCAATGGGATTAAGGTCTGGGGAGTTTCCTGGCCATGGACCGAAAATTTCTGTTTTGTTCCCCGAGCCACTTAGTTATCACTTTTGCCTTATGGCAAGGTGCTCCATTAGGCTGGAAAAGGCATTGTTCGTCACCAAACTGTTCTTGGATGGTTGGGAGAAGTTGCTCTCGGAGGATGTGTTGGTACAAATCTTTATTCATGTCTGTGTTCTTAGGCAAAATTGTGAATGAGCCCACTCCCTTGGCTGAGAAGCAACCCCACACATGAATGGTCTCAGGATGCTTTACTGTTGGCATGACACAGGACTGATGGTAGCGCTCACCTTATCTTCTACGGAGAAGCTTTTTTCCAGATGCTCCAAACAATCGGAAAGGGGATTCAGAGAAAATGAATTTACCCCAGTCCTCAGCAGTCCAATCCCTGTACCTTTTGCAGAATATCAGTCTGTGCCTGATGTTTTTCCTGGAGAGAAGTGGCTTCCTCGCTGCCCTTCTTGACACAAGGCCATCCTCCAAAAGTCTTCGCCTCACTGTGCGTGCAGATGCACTCACACCTGCCTGCTGCCATTCCTGAGCAAGCTCTGCATTGGTGGTGCCCCGATCCCGCAGCTGAATCAACTTTAGGAGACGGTCCTGGCGCTTGCTGGACTTTCTTGGGCGCCCTGAAGCCTTCTTCACAACAATTGAACCTCTCTCCTTGAAGTTCTTGATGATCCAATAAATGGTTGATTTAGGTGCAATCTTACTAGCAGCAATATCCTTGCCTTTGAAGCCCTTTTTGTGCAAAGCAATGGATGACGGCATGTGTTTCCTTGCAGGTAACCATGGTTAACAGAGGAAGAACAATGATTTCAAGCACCACCCTCCTTTTAAAGCTTCCAGTCTGTTCTAACTCAATCAGCATGACAGAGTGATCTCCAGCCTTGTCCTTGTCAACACTCTCACCTGTGTTAACAAGAGAATCACTGACATGATGTCAGCTGGTCCTTTTGTGGCAGGGCTGAAATGCAGTGGAAATTTTTTGGGGGATTAAATTCATTTTCATGGCAAAGAGTGACTTTGCAATTAATTGCAATTCATCTGATCACTCTTCATAACATTCTGGAGTATATGCAAATTGCCATCATAAAAACTGAGGCAGCAGACTTTGTGAAAATTAATATTTGTGTCATTCTCAAAATGTTTGACCACGACTGTAGCTGTTTTTTTTTTGTCTCACCATTTTTGGTAAACCCTAGACACTGTAGCGTGTGAAAAGCCCAGGAGGGCGGCCGTTTGAGGTACTGGATTCGGTGTGCCTGGCACCGACGATCATACCACGCTCAAAGTCGCTTAGGTTACTCGTTTTGCCCATTCTAACGTCCAATCGAACAGTAACTGAATGCATCGATGACTGTCTGCCTGCTTTATATAGCAAGCCACAACCACCTGACTCACTGTCTGTAGGAGTGATCAATTTTCGTGAACGGGGTGGTGTACCTAATAAACTGTATATGTTAAAAAAAGTGGCCAAAAAGTGCATATTTGACATGTAAATACTCAACAAAAATTTTTTTAGAAGTGTTCTCTGAAGTCTGCTGCTTACAATGACACAATGATATAACAGACTGTCAATTTCAAGAAATGTGACACCAAACCTGCACTGCACCCGTCTCTCTAGGTAAAATCCCATATTAATGCATTATGTCCAGTAGTGAGACCGGTAACCCATTTTAACCAAATGCCTGTGTGATGACAAAAAAAAACTGCAATGGCACTATAGCTAAAATCACTTCTAAGGACATGTCCTAGCTGTTTGTGTAATTTGGTGCCTTTATCACAAAGTCCACAATTACCAGCAAATTTGAGGCTTAGCCACTGGACTATTAGCAGCAGTAGAGACAAATTACAACCTTATTATAAAGCCTTTATCACAAAGTCCACCAGTTACAGCCACCATCATTGAGCTAGCCCTGACTATGACAGCAGTAGAGGACAATACAACCTTATAAAAGCTTCCATTTCACATTAACTTCATCTCTCCCTCTCAGTCCTATAGGTCCTTCTCTGTTCATGCTGACAGTAGACGCAGTAGGGTAGGAGGGACAGGTTCAGTCCCACTAAAAAGTATTCATATTAAACTGATAACTTTGGCTCTTCTCAGTACCTGTCCATGCATCCAGATAGGTTTGTTGTCATCTGAAAGAGAACAGACGAGAGGGAGAGGGGGGTGTGAGTGTTCCCTCACTGGAAAAAATAAGGTATTTGAATTTAAAATCAAATGGATTAATTTATGGCATTGTACTCAGAGGATTTAACCTGTCCATGCATTAACCCGTCTGTGTGTGTTCATTTCACTAATTAAACCATAATCAACACAACACACTTAAAACGTGTGTAGGGGGGACAAAGTGGGTTGTGCTGGTCTGTGCCATGCAAGCTAACCCATGCCAGAGCGTGAGTGTGTAAGGGTTTGATTGGCTTAAGGGCAGTGATCTGGACACAGTGGTGAATTAAGCTGCTCCACGCAAGACAGATAGCCCTGATCCCCTGAACTGACCTGTCAGGACACGGCCACGCATGGCCAGCCAATGACCACAGGGTTTACTGGGCAGTCATGGCCAAAATGGACATACTGTAGAGTCAACACCTCGCCTAATGCTACATGAAGACTTCATAGAGTTGGTAGGTCTGGTGTGGTGGTAAATGTAGAACTAGGCTATGTCCCAAATGGCACCCCATTCCCAAAGGGCTCTGGTCAAAAGAAGTGCACTATATAGGGAATAGGGTGCCATTTGGGACGCATCCCTGGTCCGTCAGTGATTGTGATGCGTTGGTTGTAGGAGACTCACTGTTGACTGAGCCAAACTCCTTCTCGTGTGCTCGGGTCAGGATCTCTTTGTACAGAGACTCAGCATCCTTGAACTTCCCCTGTTTGAGGTAGCATGTAGCCTAAAGAGAAGAGATGAAATGTACACAGGTTTAATAACAAACATTTCACATCAACACATAAAAGCATGTGCATCTATAACAAAACAGTGGATTAAAATATCACGTTTTAAGTTTCCCAAAACTGGTCATTCTTTAAGACTGCATTACTTTGTACTGCCCTAGACTGGACATTCAGCTAAATGCTCATAATAATATAATAATAATATGCCATTTAGCAGACGCTTTTATCCAAAGCGACTTACAGTCATGTGTGCATACATTTTTACGTATGGGTGGTCCCGGGGATCCCGGGGATCGAACCCACTACCCTGGCGTTACAAGCGTTACAAGCTCTACCAATTGAGCTACAGAGGCATTCCAGAATTCAGATCCAGAATTCTCTCTCTCTTCACCAGGTTGTTCTTGGTCTTGGCTACGTTGGGGTCGTCAGCTCCTAGTTTGGACTGGTAGATCTCCAGGGCTCGTCTGTAATAATACTCCACCTCCTCGTACTTTCCCTGGTTCTGACACAGCAGGGCCAGGTTGTTCAGCTGCTTGGCCACGTCAGGGTGGTACTTCCCCAGGACCTGAACACCAGAGACACACATCAAGACTTAATTTAGCTACAATGAAAGAAGATTTTACTGACCAACAGTCCAGGGAAAACTCTGGGCACTACACATGATGAGTCATAGATGCAATTAAAATCATTAGTGTTATTTTGTGTACCTTCTCTCTGATCTCCAGGGCTCTCTTACAGAGGGGCTCAGCCTCCTTGTACTTGCCCCTCTTCCCGTAGAGCACGGCCAGGTTGTTGAGAGTGGCGGCCACCGCAGGGTGGTCCTTCCCCAGGGTCTTCTCTCTGATGGCCAGGGCATCGTTCAGCAGGTGGGCTGCCTCTTTGTACTTGTTCTGGTCCCTGGAACACAAATACAATGCCAGGTAAGAAGATGTGTACAAGCACCATAATTAAGCAGTAAGTCTCAATTCATTATTTTTACCCAGCTATCCACACATCCTCTCTGCACCCAATCTACTATGAGTACATCGAGCCATCCCTTGACCCATCCATCTCCTATGAGCATATCCACCCATTCATACATCCAGCCCTCCATCCATCTCCCTCACTCCATTTCTCCCTTCATTCCCCTCTCACCTGTAGACGAGGGCCAGTATGTTGAGCATGGTGGCCACGTCGGGGTGGTCGTGTCCAGAGGTCTTCTCCAGGTCCTCCAGGGCTTGTTTGCAGAGGGGCACGGCCACCTCGTATCTCCCCTGGGAGGCGTACTGGATCACCAGGTTGTGGAGGGTCCTCAGGCGGGCTGGGATCTCATAGCCACCCTGCTGGGCAGCCACCTCTCCACTGGGCTGGGCTGGAGGAGAGGTGTGGAGGGGGTTAAAGTGATTCATTCTTGATACATTGTGCTGACAGAACAGGGGTTCCAAATAAAAAAGGGCTTTCATTCTTGCTACAGAATGGCTAGCTTGCTGAGGTACAACTGTAGCATGTTAAGATACAATGCTTATTTCAGAAAGAAATCTCTGAGACGAAGATAAATGTAATTTATTTCACATCATTTTAAGAGGTGGTAGTGTCTGTAACCAAAATGACTGCTATAACATACCTTCACTCAATCAATAAAATAATCAAATCAATAAATCAACTATCTATCATAAGTCTAACCCCACCCATATCTAACACCCATTGTCTTCGACATTACCAATCTAACCCCTCTCTAACCCCATGTCTACCTTGTCCCCTCAATGGGCTTCTTCTTGGCCAATCAATCGTCCTACCTTGTCCCTGGTCGTCATCATTGGGGAACAGGTCGTCCAGGCTGTCTTTAGACGTCTCCCCTGCAGCCTTCTCCTCAGACGGAGACACGTCGTCGTCAAACTTCTTAATCCGGTTCATGAACTCCAGGTGTTTCTTCTCCTCCTCCAGCTGGGCAACACTCTGCTCACTACACTGCAGCTTGTTCTGAGGGGAGGTGAGGAGTGAGGGAGAGGGTGGGGGAGGAGGAGAGGTGAGGTGAGTGGGAGGCAGGGGAAGCTTTGGAAATGTTTTGCTTTGGAAGGGATTAAAGTGATTGTATACTCCAAAACCCCTAAAATGTTAGCCAAATGTTTTCCGCCCTCAAAAGTAACGCTGAGATGAGCCAACACCCCATGCAGTCGGTTGTATATGTTGATATATAGACTAATCCAACATCTCCAGAACATTTAACCACTTTTGAGGTCTGAAAACAAAGATTTTGATATTGGCGTGAATGATGCAGTGTTCTATGCTGTATATCTAACTGAGTTAGAATTAGGATACATCTACCTATACGTAAGGCGGATTAGGCTGTAGTATGTCTACCTGTGTTCCTGCCAGTTCGTCTCGTAACCACTGGTTCTCCTGACACAGTCGTCTGACCTGGGCTCTTAGCCTCTGCTTCTCAGACTCCACCGCACTCAGGTGGCCCGACAGGGCAATGATCACCTGGACAAGGGGAGGTGGAGGGGTTAGAACCAACTCTTATTTTCAATGACAACCTGGCAAGAGGGAGCAAGAGAGGGATGTAGGGGGTTCAAATAAAGAAGGAAAGCTGCGAGAATGTTTTAGTTTCAAAGGGGGAAGCGGCTAGCTTGGGGGCCAGACCACATTGTACGTTAGCGTGGAATTCCAGGCTAGGAAGAAGTGTGGAGCATTGTAGAATGTTTACCTGGGATTTGTAATGTGTGTGTTGTAACCTGTTCCAAAACCAGTGCAAATAATGTCCTTCTTGGAGGACAATATATCATTGTATTATATTCTGGTCTATTCAAAAGAGGGTGGGGAGTTGTCTTTTGGGACGTTATTTTATGCCGTTCATGTTATATCAGTCCATCTGTATCCAACCCAGATTCCCACCACCACCTTTCTACAGGAACAACTCATTTCCTCTTGATGAATCACCCTCTATGAGGCATCAATCTAAATACATCCTCTCCTTCAGTCTTAGTCACAGTGTATGAACTAGCAATAACCCACATCAAGCACCAGCATCCTCCTCCTCTCCATTCACCTCCTCTCTCATCATTTCATTATCATCCCTTACCTCTAAAACTGAGCATCTTCCACTCACCCACTTTCTTTGTCCCCTTCACTCCACTCTGCCTTCCCTCTCTCTTCTTCCATTTCTCTTCCTCTTCTCTTCCCTCTCCCCCTCCTTTCCTTTCACTCCCCATCCCTCCTCTTCCCCCATTTCTTCCCTACCTGTGCCTCTCCCAGGCCAAGTTCGATGGCCTCCAGGCTTTTACGCAGCAGGCCTGACTTCTCCTGGGCAGCAGGTGGCTGTGTGCAGTCCAGCAGGGAGGTGAGGAGCTGGGCATGCTCCCCGCGGAGGGTCTCCAGGCCCTGCATCACGGCCTTGGTGTTGAGCACTATCTCATCCTGGGTCAGGCGCTCCAGGGCCTCCTCACTGCGTGGGTACACCATGGTGGACATAACCCGGGTTCACACACACTGTAGGAGGGGATAGAGGGAGAGGGGTTAGATAGGGACTGGACTCATGTTACCATACTCCCAATCTTGTACAGAGAGCTTGGAATCGATGCTAGTTTGAGGACGAGCCATATGTACAATACAGAGGTGAAAATTACAACACAGCAAGAATTCATGCCTGATGAGATTATTACAAATCTGAGGATTAGAGGAAGAAAATCCCTCCGAATAAATTATGTCCAAATTAAGAGAGATTTTGTTCACACAACTGTTCAGTCTGTTACCAAAAACCAACCAAGGCACAGCTCATTCCTCTGGACCTTCTGCCCTTGTTCCAATGGGACTCTAATCTTTTGATCTTGAGAAAATAAATTAAGGAACTGTAAGCATTTCGGTTCTGAACCTATTCTATACATAGTTTGAGTGGCACTGCCTTAATCAGTCTTTCTGACTAATAGAATCATGGAATTCTTCACCTAAACAAACTGATCGTTGCAGCTGGACCAAGCAGAAATGCGCTACTCCTCAACTGCTCTACTCGGCTTTGGAGGAGCACCTGTTCTGTTCTCGCGCCGCCAGGAGGCCCCCACCCACACCATCCATTGACCGCAATGCACCAATATGAGCGATCCCGTAATTTCCCATCCTATTGCCACAGGCACAGCTAACAAATCTCTCAAACGCTGTATGGGACGTTTGGCAATTTGTAAGTGTTGTCATCATCGATCCATTTAACTGTCAATTAGTGTTTAGTAGTAAAATATGGGCCGACACACTTTAGGATTCGCCCCCCCTCACAGGATGACAAGAAATGGGAGACAGAGAATCAATGAACGTGACCGATAGAGGAGAGCGTTACACATAAATAAAAATAAATGTAGTATTTTGAGAGACTTAATGTATCATAACATCTATATCGTATATATATAATAGTATGTCTAACTGTCACACTCACACGTAGGCACATGTCCTACAAAACAAGGTTTGAGCGAGGCCCAGCCAGAAAGATGATGCTCTAAGGACTTTCTGCATGGATGCGGTCGTCAGGTGCAAGTCTCTATACTGTTTCATGATGACTAAGAATAACAATTTCCTCAGCACTTAAACTAAGCGATGACTCGTCGAAACGATGTCCAAGACGAGAACCAAGACGAGCTCAATTGGCAACATTATAGAACGTTGGTAGTGATACATATCACGAGCCTAACATGGAGAGAGGCATTGGTACGTCGCGTAGCAAATGATTTACTAGCCTAGCTCTCTTTGTTGGACGTCAAAATATATTCCAATATAACTCATACACTTAAAAATACACTCAAAGACCTCGTGTTGGCCATACCTTACCTTCATCAAAACGGTTCTATTTTCCCAAGACAAGTGCGCTGCCGCCGGATATCTCGAGCTCAAACAAAGCACGACCTACTGTTGTGATGCTCTGCTTCAATCACTTGTTGTCAGTGGGCTAGCTACGCTTGTGCACGGCAATGACAACGTCAAGGCTGAGGATAACATAACCCTACACCTATACAAAAAATACTTAACTAGGCCTATATGGTAGGCTATATCACCATGAATCTCTAAAACCATAAACTGTAAATGTTCTCAGGTCGGTGTGAGAAAAGTAATAACATCACGATAAAGAACATTCTTTATTTACCTTCTCTCCCCTGCTGTTGCCCCACCGGTAAGATCCGGATAACACGTTATTCAGTCTTCTGAACTAGCTATATAAATAGCCCAATAAACACCACTTTGCTTAAATCCGGTTGTATATTGTCGCTTCCACCTAAAAGCTTGCGAATTCCAAGAAATACATTGTAACCAATGATGTTAGCAATGCTGGTTAGCTAATGAATTCGAGCCTGGCACGAATTAGCCTAGTCAATGTTCTCGTCTTGCGACGGTTGGTTTCAACAGGAGTTGCGATCAAAATACAGGAACGCTGTTTGCAATGTGAGTCGACATCGTCCGATCCATCCTCGGAAGTTGTTTTGGAGAGAGTGCGGGACCGCTGGCGCGTTCTCAGTTTGAGAAACGTGTTCGAAGAATGACAGTCGCGACCCGAAAATGGCTGTTGTCCGAATTGTCCCACAATCCACAGCCCAGTGCGGCCGCTACGACGTCACCGCTCATCAGAGAGATCAAAATAAAGGATGATGCACAAATAACATTTATTTGTAGGCTTGTGGATATTTCCAATAGCTAATCACCATAGCATTTACAATACTTAATTTTGTAATTCTAATGTAGACCTATGTATTATAATAACTAGTCTAGAGATGCCTAAATAAACTGAATTTGAACTTTAAAAAATAGTCTACATTAATTCCTTGATTCCATTCATATGAATAACTGAAAAGGCACCAGAAAACATACAACTCAGGAGTATTTATAAAATAAAGAAAAACAGTTCCACTTTTCCATTCCACATCAGTTTAATTGACAACATAATCATGAAAAAGAAGTACTACAAAACATTTCAAATAAAAAACAAGGACTACGATACAATACATACGTACTTTTTTGATATGTACAAGCATTATTACTGTTTATAGACAAAAGGCAAAAAAGCTGCTGAAGAAACAATGGTATGTGCAAAAATACTCTCCAAATCCACAAGGGTTATAATCCTCCCCTCAAACTACTACCAAGCATAAGTGTAGCCTATGCAGTGTTACGCAAAAACAGATTCTCTTCTGTGATAGGCTGCTATGTTACAAGCAGGGATCCTTTCAAATGGGCTTTATTAGAAGCAAAGCTTGTGGAATCCTGGCAGAGACTCTAGATCGCTTACGGTTTGTTCTAGATCTCTCACTCCATTTGTTCTGAACACATTGTGATGAGAGCAGAGAGGAAGGACATTATTGGTCACTAAATGGATTTATTCAAAGATCATATTAATAGATCATATTGTTCTTCCCCTCCGGGACAGATGTTTTTCAGGACCATATGACCTGATCAGTCTGGGCCCTGTACTCTATAGACTATAACTAGGGCCCAGAGTTGTTCCTGGTGGGGTCACATGGTCAGGAAAAACTGCTGTCATTAGTCATGAACATAAAGACCATCACAGCAACCACAGGTCAATACAGGTAGAGACACAGGTACGCATACATCAGGTACAAGTTAGAGAGACAGTCACACAGGAAAAATAGGCCTAGAGAAGGTAGGAAAAACAACAAACATGTTAATGGTAAGACAGGTGAAAGAAGGGACTGAACTGGGAACGGTGAGGAGAGACAGAGGAGTATACCTTGAAATGTATAGTGAAAAAAGAATGTTTCCAACATTAAAATGATTACTTTGGAACAAAGTTTTGTTATCACCAAAAAACATTTCAAAACACTGAACACCTATATCTACACCCCACAGGAGGTTGGTGGCACCTTAATTGGGGAGGATGGGCTCGTGGGAATGGCTGGAGTGGAATTGGTGGAATGGTATCAAAAACATCAAACACGTGTTTGATACCATTCCATTTACTCCGTTCCAGCTATTATTATGAGCCATCCTCCCCTCAGCAGCCGCCACTGCTACACCCCCAACTTCAGCTTGGTGTTATATCCATGTAACATTTGACATTTTGGCAGTGCTTTTTTTGTCCCCTTCAGTGAATACTTATGATCCCCCTATGAAGAGACAGCAGTTCAAATATAATCATATCTTACACAACTTATGCTAATAACACGCTGCAAGGCATAGAGCAATTGGACCTCTGTGTTCTGCGCAGAGACGGTAGACATCTCCCCTAACCACTGACACAGGGTCAGATATCTTTTAATCCCCCTAATGGTTATGGTTAGAACTGGGGGGGGGTAATTGTAATCTGATCCCAGATCTGTGGTTAGGGAGTAGCGTAGCTACAGGTAGAGCTCACTATCCTCAAGCAAAAACATCCCTCCCATGGATACAACCATGTTATACATAACATTCATACAGTAGATACAGTCTCAGTTAAAATATGCATTAAGAGTCCAAGTCCACATGATGGCATGGGTCTGGGTCTAGCCCTTGACTGGTGGGCAGTGACACTTGCTATGAGCAGCAGGGTTTAATGGTCTGCTTTCAAGAGTGCCACTGCCTTTGCCGTATCTCTCTTTGATACTCACAGGGAAGTTGCACAAAGTATCCAAGCTCACAGAGGTTACAAGGTCAACTGACTATGGAGTTCGGAGAGAGATTATTATGGTGTGTTTGTGTTGTAGATTTTTTTTTCTTTCTAGTGAAGTAACAGCTGGTTATGGACTAGGGTTGCAAAGCTACCAGTAATTTACAAAAGTTACCGGAATCTATAGCAATCTATGGTAACTTTGGTAGTTTATACTTGAATAACTTTTTTTATTCGTATATAGTATTCATTTTTTATATCTGTGTCCATAATGTCCATTCGTTTCAAGTGGATAGACCCTATGGTCAAGAGAAAATAGCCAAATTAATGAAAGAAGCATCTAATCAACAATGACATTATTTTCAATTAACTCTGCAACTCTTCCAACTATTGACTTTTTTCACAACTGCCATCACATTTACAACAAAGGCATATTGACATAGTAAAATAAATAAAAGTGTGTATAATTTTTTTTTTTTTGACATTTCATGCTGAAACCCTCATATTAAACACCAATGGTATTCACTAAATTGATGGTTTATATTTAGGAATGTTTTACAGCATTTTCATTCTGTTTTTTATTTTAAAATCATCTTATTTGATTATATTATATATTTTACATGTGATTAGGCCACACAGAGGGCCAGAGATAATGACAGACACCTGTGACAATCTGAAGTACCCAAAATGGCCACTAGATGTTGTGATAAATTACATAAAATCCTTGAAAGTTACCAAAATGGTGGTAGTTTACTGGTAAACTCAGAAAGTTTCCAGTAATATACCCTCCCTTTGCAACCCTATTCTGGACTGATAAAATGGTGTTGAAACTTCCAAAATTGATGTTTACTAAACAATAACGCTTTTGACGACAATCGACAAGACTGAGAAGAGATCATAGAAACTAAAACACAAACTATGAATATTATCTGCACATTCAAATTAAGTTCAGATGATACTGTATCTCCAATGATTGTTGGAAATACATCCTTGTTGTTTGAGATCTGTACATTCTATCATTCAGACTTATTTGTAGAACATGCATAGCTGTGTACTTATGCTCTCAATCAGTTTGAAGCCCTTGGTGCAAAAACCTTCCTTCGTACGAGCCCCCCCCCCAAAGAGAACAGGGCCAGACTTTGAGTTACACAAGGTGTTGACGTCACAACTTTTAACACTGTTACACCTAAGCTGAAAAACCTACCTCTAAGTTACCCTGAAAATCATCATAATAACAGCAAAAATCGAGACATTGGTATTGCAATACTTGATTTTTGTGATAATACTTCACTCTACACAGATGGGGAAAAGTTACTTTGTAGGTGACACAAGGCTAAGCTACTCAACACTGGTTAACTTTCATTTTAGAAAGCAAGAGGACTAGTGTTTTGCTTACAACACATTGCCATTTCATTCAAAATATACTAATTGTAATGTACTTTGCAGGTACATTATAGACCATAGACTTTGCTACTAAATTGAAAATCAATTCTTTAAGTCTAATTCTTTGGATACAAATGAATTGTCTGCAGTTTTTCCTTAATAGCAGCAGAGCTCTTAGTAGCTCCTAAAGGTAATTTGGTGTCGCCTTTCTTTGTGTCAGTCTAGAAGGCAAACGTCTGGACACTGATACCGCAGCCTAGAGAACTCATAAAGTGATATTGACCACATCTCCACACAAACACTTGGCCACAGACAAACCAATCATACTGTGTCACATGGGTTACTTATGACATTGGTTTCATAGATATTTCGATATTGTTTTACCACATTACATAATAACACTTAATAACACACCTGTCACTGGACACTCACTTGCCACCTCACGACACCCTAGACACAACACACCACCATGTCAATGGCGTGAACGCTGCCCGTCTATCACAGGCAGGGCTGGAAAATTCATGTTTTCCAGAAATCCTGGTTGTGGGATTCCGGATTTCCTTCTTATTTCCTCCTAATTCCAGAAACCTTCCAAACAGGATTTCTGGAAAACCTGGGAATTTTGGGAAAGTTACCAGAATTTTGCAACCCTTGACAGGTAAAGACTGGGGAGAAGAGTCGCTAGTAGTGTGCGACATTGTGCTTTGGAGTAGGACACCTAGCTACTATAGCGTTGGGGGAGGAGTTACTGGAAGTGCATCGCAAAAGATGACGATGACGGTCACAGCTCCTGTTCCCCAACTTAACCTCAGCCTGAGCCCCAGACCACAAATCCCAGAATACAACATCCTCACACAGGTGATATACTGTATGTCCACAAGCAGAAGGAGGACTATACATTGGAGGTTGCATCAAGAGAGCAATGCTGACAACAACAACTGAGATTGATAAAGGGACAAGCCTTACAGACAGCAGAAATGTTGCCACTACTAAGTAAAGTTGGGGCAAACAGTGAGCTCTGAAGTTGGCGCCCTCTCTATACTGGGCTGTTCTGTGCACAGAAAGTTAAAATGTTGTTACAATAAAAAACTAGAGCCTTTTCTTATATGTTCTGCTCTTCTTATGCATAACATGTCAACTTACTGTATCATTGGTGAGAAAAAAAGCATTTTCATGTATTTAGGGAGCAGAAAAAGCATTGCTACTGTAGGTGTTGTCTGTTGTTCATTCCATTTCATGCACATGGATGTTTGGATCCCAAGTTCCCCTCCATACCCCATAATAACCATGTCATTACTGTTATAACATGTCATAATATGATATTGTTGTTATAACTGGCACATGGTGGTGTAGTATACAGCATGCAGGTTGGCCTTTGGTGACCCGGGCAGGTTCAAGGTGATAAGAGAATGACCTGGTCAGGGTTAAAGGTTAAGGATTAAAGGGTCAGATGTCAAGGGTCAGGGCTCGTAATGAGAGTTATTCATGCAGTTGCATCTCATTGTTAGGGTTGGTTGAACGGCAGTCCGTTATCTTGTGCTGTGGGCCCCTCATATATCCACTCTACACAGAGAGAGGGGCATTTCAATTCATTAAAGTGACTAGTAGCGTTGCACCCCACATCCAACCCATCTCTCCCTCCCTCCTTATAGAGAAATAAGACAAACATAGCAAAAACGTCCGGCCCCTCAACCCTTCATCATAATTGACCAATATTAGTCGCCACGGCGTTCCGAGAGGCGGGGTCTGTGTGCGTAGGTGGGACGGGACTGGGCGAGGCGAGTGGGGCGAGGGGGAGGGGTAAAGGGTGGACCCTAGGAGGTGGGTTTGCTGTAACCAAACAGTCCAACAGGGAGATACTTGACATGCGTGGGCCACTGGGCAGCCAGCTGGAAGAACTTGACGTCATTCCACTCCACTCCGTCTATGGACACTGAGAGACACACAGGAGACACAGAGATACTGGTTAAGTATGACTCCGTCTATGGACACTGAGAGACACACAGGAGACACAGAGATACTGGTTAAGTATGACTGTTGTTCAGACAGGGAACACTTAAGCCTGTCGCATGCTTCCCAGTAGAAACAGTTGCGCATATATTATGCCAAAATTTGCGCACATAAAAAAAATTGTTGAGGCAAGTCGTAGTTCGATACCATAAGTCTACACCCCTTTGGTGATTGGTCAACAATACTACTCCTAGTAGGAGTGGGAACTATGGACAGGATTCTTCAATGAAGTGTTTGTTGTCATTCAACGAGAGACGACTAGTTTTCATGCACATTTTTTCACTTGAGAAATACTGCACCAAACATCTTAGTTAGATGTAAAAATGCGCGACTAAGACCTCCCTCTGCAAAAATGTCAAAATTAATGACAGATTTCTTGATTTATCTTGACTATTTTGAGGAAGTGCATACGGGCTACACTGTTGATACGCAGTCTCAAGAGGGACAAACAGCTTTTTTCTAGTTTTTCAAGGCGAAGGTCTTTCAAGGGTCACAGATGTTTGAACCTAGTATGCGGCGGTGTCTGAAATGGCTCTCTTCTCCCTATATACAGTAGTGACCAGAGCGCTATTGGACCAGAGACCTATTGGTCCAGTGTAAGGAATAGGGTTCTATTTCGGACACAGTCTTAGAGACACTTAGAGGTCCATTCACACAGCCCATTCTCCATTTTCTCTTTCCTCTAACATCCCCAATAAATAATTTCCCCTTCCTTCAAATCTTTATTGATGTGTCTACTCTTTCTAAAGATCTTGCATCTAGAGAAGCACTATAATCTCCCTCCCCTCCCTCCCTCTTCTTCTCCGAGCCTTCTCTTCACTTTCACTAGTCATCTCTCTTTCCCGCTCTCCCTCCCTCCTTGTCTCATGCTCCTGTACCTTTCAGGATGGTCTGATGCTGCTTGGCAGAACAGATGAGTCTGCTGATGCCCTCAATGACCTGGCTCTTAGAGTCGACATCCTTCTCCTTCGGCTTCTTACCCAGGAATATGGTTGGAACTACAGAGGGAGAGAGAGGGAGGGAGAGAGAGAGTGGGATAGAGAGTCAACCTTCATTACTATACACATAGAATTGGGAATTAGATAATGTAATAGGATCTCTATAACTACACAACCAGGCAGACTATAACAGTCACATACTGTAGGAAGAAAGAAGAAAACCTCAACTAGAAGGAATGCATCTTTTCCACTGATCATTCAGCATTAAAAACTATGTTTTTTCTTATTACTTTGCTTGTGCCATATAAAACAGTGGTATTCTAAAACTCTTTACCCTTCTTGTTCTTCTCCTTGGTGACCACGGTCATGGCCATGGTGCTGACCTGGGCCTGGGCTTCACTGCTGCCCCCTTCTGGTAGCCTGCTGACCTGCAGGGACCTGAAGGCACTCTTCAGGGTGTTCTTACAGCCTGTGTCACGCCGCTCGCCCTCTCGACGCTTCTCTGCCAGCGACGCCAGCCAGTAGTCCACCTGCAACCCAATGGCGTCCACACCATGGGACATACTGGGGCTCCTGGGACAGGAAGGGGAGGGGCCAGAGACAGGACGAGGAGGGGTTAGGATACAATACAGGAAAGGGAAATTTATGGAGGTTCTTTGTTAAAAGTGTAAAAAGCTGTGTTAATTTGTGAGATGGAGGGATGAGGTATTCAGCGACAGAGAGGGTTATGGATTCAGGGGCATACATTTCATATGGTGCGTCAACCCTGACCCTGAGTTTGGCTATACAGAGGACAAGAAAGTGTGTTACAGCACCAAACCCCAAAACAATGATGGGCTATAACACTAGAAGCTGCTGATGCTGCTGTGGTTATTTTTAGATGGACAGAGAGGATCACTGCTCTAGAGTTTCACCAGGACAGACATGAAGGGGACATAATGAACCTGAGATGGCTGATCTGAGGAGAAGCAGTGTGTTGGTAACATTCCTCTTTCTCCCTTTCTCTTTCCTTCCTCTCTCTCAGACAGGGGTAGGCAACTCTGTCAGGTCAATGGGGGCCACAGTGTCTATTGTTTATTGGTTCTCGTTCCTTTCAGGGACTGATTTAGACATTAAAGGTGTGCAGACACTCTCTGGCACTGAATTGATCCACTAATGATTACTCAGAAAGAGAAGAGAAAACGTAGCAGCTCCTGAGAACTGGAATTGCCCAGAGATTTTAACAACACAAAAGACTACACCAAGCTAGTCGGTGGGTGCAAACGTACCCCTGTACTGCCTGAACACTGCTCATAGAAGGAGAGGAGGGGGGAGTGGCAGCCTCTTTGATCAGCCCGGTGGGAGAGCCGTGGGAGGGAGGGGATGTAGAGGGAACAGCTAAACTCACTGCCACGCCCTCTTCTGCGTCTCCTAGGCGACCACAGGGGCAAGGAATGGAGGTGAGATTAATGTCATTATTTGTAATATTATCAAGTAAATAGGCCTGGAAGATGCATATTTAGCAGTAAGAGAGTCTATTTCTTCATTGGTTCTACATTTTAAACCACCTACCTGTAGAGGAAGGGCCCGGCTCAATCAGACCAACCTTCACCACCTGAAACACATGACAACATCCTGTTGCTACAACATCAGGAAAAATACCTCATATTCTAACACCCTAAATCAGCTGAAGAGTTACTATACAAACTAGATGTACATTTTCAAGGGTAGATCTATGGAAGAGGCTATAGAGAGACCTGTTTTTTTATATACGTACCCCAATAAAGGGAATGAACTTCTGGTAGGAATCTTCATCACGCCTGAACAGAGACAAATAATGAGTTATGACCAGTTATATGGGTTTTGTATTAAATACCATCTTGTAGCTATTGCTCTGGTTAAGGTATGTGTTACACCCTGACAGTTTGTGTATGTGTGTGTGTGTGTGTGCGCGCGTGCCCACTCACGTCCTGTGTTTGCAGGTAAGCATGGCCTCAGCGATGGGCAGCTGGTGTGTGACAGTGGCTCCACTGATGTACTGGGAGATCCTACCGGCTACGTCCAACAGGTCTGCAGCACAGGGGACAGGAACACAGATCAAAAATTAGAGGTCATTGGTAAGAGGTCAGAGGTCAGGCTCTGTGTGCTAACTTTATGTATCCAGATCCAGTGTGTGTGTGTGTGTGTGTGTGTACCTGTCTGTGGGGGTTCAGAGCGGCTGAACATGTCTCTCCACGCCCCGTCTAAGAACGCAGAGCTGTAACGGTTGTCTATGGCACCCAGGTGCTTAGCAACAGGATGAGAGCCTATAAGACCATGAGAGAGAGAGAGAGAGAGAGAGAGAGAGAGAGAGAGAGAGAGAGAGAGAGAGAAAGATGGAGAGAATATCTTTTAGTGTACGTGATCAGCCTGACAACAACAACTCTTTCCAATATCAACCCATCACTACGCCTGTCACCATGGATACGGACGGATGGCGCCCATGTTTTTGTCTCACCCAGGGGAACCACCAGGAACCTCAGGTGGTTGAGCCAATCAGAGGTCTTGCTTGCCAGCTGTGTGACAAAGAACTGCAGGATGGCACCAAGGTAGCTCTGACTACCCACGACTGCCACCTTGACCGGCCTGGGCATTGACGAGTTACAGTTACAACTGGAGAGGAAAGTAGAGAGGGGGAGAGAGGAGAGGGGTGGGGAGTGAGAGAGGGGAAAAGAGAGAGAGAGAGAGGGGAGTGGGGGGTAAAGATAATCACTGGCATAACACAGCTATGACACCCACCAAGTAGCGATGAGCACGGTTAATCGAATATCCAGATATTCGAACTGAAATTAGTATTCGATTACTTGAGTGAGTGTTAATTTTTTGTGATTTTCTTTAGGCCTATTTTGACTATGAAAAAGCTTTGTTATAAATGTAATTCGATTATCCTTGTGACATTGTGACCTACAAGGATATACCATGACATTTGAAATACTTAATTTAATAAATCAACAAAAATGTGAGAGGGGAGGAAACGAGAGAAGAGAAGAAACGAGAGAAGAGAGGAAACGAGAGAAGAGAGGAAACGAGAGCAGAGAAGAAACGAGAGAAGAGAGGAAACGAGAGAAGAGAGGAAACGAAGAAGAGAGGAAACGAGAGAGAGAGGAAACGAGAGAAGAGAGGAAACTAGAGCAGAAAGGAAATGAGAGAATAGACAGAATTCTGAATCAACTCAATATTGTATGTGACTGTCTGAGTTCTGATGTGTAAATATTTCATAGACAGTGAGATTAACAGAGCATAGATAATGTGTTAAACCAACAGACTCACAACTCTGGGTGTGTGTGTGTGTGTGTGTGAGTGTGTATGTGTGTGTGTGTGTGTGTGTGTGTGTGTGTGTGCGTGCGACTCACAACTTCTGGATGCGTGTGAGGACAGCAGACAGCACCGCCTGGATCTCAGCTCCTGAACACGTACACACCACCGGGTGCCTCTGTACCTGCAGCTGCTCGCCAACGTACTGGAACACACACTTAGAGAACTGCAGCAACATCCAGGTTTGTTCTGACGCAACAAACACGTGTGCACACACTAGTGATGCGTGGGTTGAATTCAGGGGATTTCAGATAGGCCTATGGCACGTCAAGGGAACTGTAGCCTACTGTTCAGATGGGTTAAATGGAAACTGAAATCTGGACACAGACTGTAGGTCTATAACCTCTCACATAGTCTTAATATTAACTCCTGCAGAATTAAGCATTTCTTGTTGTAAAATGATACACCAAAAATACGCTACATTTTGACTCAGGAACAGGAGTGGAGAAATATGATTTATTTCAGCATGTTGACAGAATGTGAATGCGCAGTCAGATACCGTCTGTAGAGCTGCTATCTTTATCAGTATCATACACGCTGATAGTATTTCAACCACATAAAATATGCATCCAAACCGAACTGAAATCTTATCAGAAACATGTTGGGTTGTTTTCACAGCTTTCTACTTCCATACAATCGGTCAAACTGATGTCATTTGGACATTTTGCACAGAAAATCTTTCCAGTTTTATTTGAGTTACTGCATTTTCTCCCCGGTCCCTAAACGTCTTTGCTACTACCGTAGATTGAAGCATAAATTCTATTGATTTATGACACTATTCTGATGAGCAAGGGTTTATTTAGTCTTCTAGGGCAACAATATGACAGAAGAGAAGCTGCATGTATATAATTATAGACAAGTTGAACAAATAGCCTACCAAAATGTCGGAAATTATAAGCAGAAACATACAGTTTCTGTTAAAAAATCGTTTCGCCACACAGGAGGTTGATGGCACCTGAATTGTGGAGAACGGGCTTGTGGGAATGGCTGGAGCGGAATGGTATCAAATACATCAAACACATGGTTTCCATGGTTTCCAGGTGTTGATGCCATTCCATTCGCTCCGTTCCAGCCATTCTTATGAGCCGTCCTCCCCTCAGCAGCCTCCACTGTTCCACCGTCTCTGACTGTAGCCTACAGCGCATTTAGCCGGTTAGGGACGGGTGCTGGCCTCAGATTGTAACTTTATCACATATAGTCGGGCTGTTGCGGATGGGTTATTAGCAATTGCGGGCGTGGGTGAACAAACAGCTGACCCGTGCACCACTAGCACACACTCATGGTTCTTACCTGGCCCTGCCAGTCGGTGCCATTGACCAGGATGAGACTCTCAGGCAGAGCCGCGTCAGACAGAAGGATCTGGTTCAGCTGATCATACACCGCCTTCCTCAGGACCTACACACCCACCCATACAGACACACACACAGCACGCACACAGCACGCACACACACACGCACACAAACACACACACGCACACACACACACACACAGCACACACACACACACACACACACACACGCACACACACAAACACACACACGCACACACACAAACACACACGCACACAAAGTGGAGCAAGTGGAACAGTTTCTTTTTTGATGACTCATCAACATATACATAATTTATTCTTGGTCTCGTCGTCATGGGTACATTTAAGTTATTTATTTAGACAAGAAGAAGGGAGCAGGAGGAGGAGAGGAACGGAGAGATCAAGATGGAGAGAGACAATATTTTTTTCTTGGCATATAATGTGCTGTGCGTTTTCAATATAAATGTGCTGTGCTGTCCTTAAGCTAGCTCTGGATGGATGAGATGTGATAACTGGAACTATAAGACCCCCTGCTATAAGAGAGTGTGTGTGTGTGTGTGTGTGTGTGTGTGTGTGTGTGTACGTGTGTGTGTGTGTGTGTGTGTACGTGTGTACGTGTGTACGTGTGTGTGTGTCATGCGCACAAATATCATACCCCCCCAAAAATGCTAACCTCTCCTGTTATTATAATGGTGAGAGGTTAGCGTGTCTTGGGGATATGATATTTATGCCTCTGTAACTTTCTCACTCATCATTATTCACGACTCATTCAGGATTATCCGTAACCATGGTAGCATCCACATTAATGTAGAAATGTTTAGAAACATTTTCTATTCTTATTTACAATAAAAGTGACTCCAAAATGACACAATACATTATTTCCATTCACCTTGACTACCCTGTACCCCCGGCACATTGACTCGATACCGGTACCCCTTGTATATAGCCTCGTTATTGTTATTGTATTGTGTTACATATTATTATTATTTTAAATATTTTCTTAACTCTATTTCTTGAACTGCATTGTTGGTTAAGGCTTGTAAGTAAGCATTTCACTGTAAGGTCTACACCTGTTGTATTCGGCGCATGTGACAAATACAATTTCATTTGATTTCTATTGGGCACAAAATAATCTGAAACACAACCAAAACAAACAGCAAAAGCATCCAACAAATGTGTAGAGTCAAAAGATTGATGTAGTCATTGCGTGCTATGAATGTGGGACCAAATACTTAACTTTTTACTACTTTAATACACATAAGTGAATTTGTCCCAAAATATGGGGGGACTATGTACAAAAAGTGCTGTAATATCTAAACGGTTCACCCGATATACCCTCAAAATGAAATACCCTCAAATTAAAGCTGGCAGTCTGCACTGTAACCTCAGAGTCATTATATCATTTCAAGTGCTGGAGTATAGAGTGAAAACAACAACAGAATGTGTCACTGTCCCAATACTTTGGCGCTAACAGTAGTTTTAAGAACGTGTGTGTGTGTGTGTGTGTGTGTGTGTGTGTGTGTGTGTGTGTGTGTGTACGTGAGTTACCTGTGAGCTGTGTCCCAGTTCGGGGGATCTCTCGCTGTCGGAGCTGTTGGTCCTCCCCCCTTCACTGATTGGTTTAGACAGCTGTCTCTCTTTCATAGGAGTACTGCTCTGTCTCTTCTGTTTGGGGGTGTGGCCTCCGCCATCCAGTCTGTGGAACACACACATCTTTTAGAGACAAATCCCCCGTTCAACCAGTGTGGAGGGTGCTACGTGTTTGTGTTAAAACTCAAAATTGACCCCAAACCCTTACCTCTAGGTTTGAAGGATTGGAACAATTCTACCTTTCAGAGGAAAATATGCACATCTGCAAAGGCACCTGGGAGGTTGGTTTGGTATCGGGCATGTGTAATTTTGTTGGAGTCACTATGGCAAGTGTGTGTGTGTGTGTGTGTGGTTACCTGGGGGAGGGCATGGTCTGTCCTCCTTCACTCTTGCTGCTCTTCAGGGGCGTACGCGGTTTCTCAGCCCCCGACACCGTAATAGAGGGGCCCTCCGGAAACATCTCCTGATCCGTCAACTCCTACACACAGAACACACACAGATTAGCTTGAGCTCAAAGTGGATCGCTACTTCTACACGCACGCAGAGCCTATAGCGTATCTCACCAGTGTGTCCGTCTCAGAGAGTGCCTCTACCTCCAGGTTGCGACTGCGAGAGTGTTTCATCTCTATAGGCCGCTGCTCCCCCTGCTGGAGACACACAGGAAATACAGTCACTACACACACATCACCTAGCCTGGTATTCCCAGACTGATGACAGCTGATAACGGCTGCGCTATAAACTTGCGAGATCCGGCTGGTTGAACGAGGCTACACTTCACCTGATGTGAATCTCAATCCTTCACTTTCGCCCTCTTTTTCTCTAGCATTCCTCTCTGTTGTCTCCATACTGTTTACATTTTAGTCATTTAGCAGACACTCTTATCCAGAGCGACTTACAGTTAGTGAGTGCATCCTTTTATTTTTTTCATACTGGCCCCCTGTGGGAATCGAACCCACAACCCTGGCGTTGGAAGCGCCATGCTCTACCAACTGAGCTACAACTGTTGAACCCCCTTCTCACTAGATTGGTCTCCCTTATATCCCCCCTCTCCATCCTTTATTGCATCATTTATCTCCCTCTCCCTCCCTCTCTCCCTCCATCACTCCAGTACTCACAGGGCTGAAGCAGGCGTCTCTTCCCAGGCTCCCTCCTCTGCTGTTTAGGCTGGTGATCTCTGTCTGAGAGCTAGACTGGGACATTCCCTCAAAGAACGGCCTGGATGGACACACAGAAAAGTTAGCACCGACTGTAACATACATGGAATGATGTGTTCATAGTGATGATCTGACCTGATGACGAAAGACGTTGTCAAATAGTTATACTGTATCTCGGGGTCTTTCAACCTTTTCTGTCAAGGGCAGGGACCCCTCCCATGCAAACCAGCAATCCAGGGACCCCAATCATACGTTAGCAAAAAACGATCTTATCATCAGGTGAGTGATAATGGCAAGGAGAAATAAACAACTTTTAAAAATGATTTGATATGGTTGATTGTTTTTCCTTATTTTGACATACCCACATTATAATTGGAAGAGGAAGTGTAAACTCTACCATAGCCTATTGGCTAGAAAGGTAACTCCAAGCACATTTTCGCTAAGAGCAGCAGTTTAGCTGGTTAAAAAAAGTTTACCCAGGTGTTGGCCACAAAATAATGACCAAGTCAAGAAAGCTTACCAGCAGCCAGCAGCACTTGCCGCACTGGTAGCCTATTCGCGGGTGCTTTTTCAAAGCCGATGTCAGATACTCCAGTGAGTGTAATTGGCTCAATATTAAGAGTTGAGAAATTGATTAATAGAAAGAAGATATTCTCCTCTTTTCTACTGTAGGTCTAAAAAATTTGTATATTCTGTTGTTGCTGTGAAATAAAATCCACTTTTTTTATATACTGTATATATATTTTCGCGGAGCCCCTGCAGTACCTCCGCGGACCACAGGGGACCCTCGGTTGAATACCCCTGCTGTAACTGATTCACTCTAGCAGTCCTAAGTCCCTTATATGGGAATGTACAGTGCATTCGGAAAGTATTCAGACCCCTTGACTTTTTCCACATTTTGTTACGTTACAGCCTTATTCTAAAATTGATTACATAGTTTTTTCCCCTCATTAATCTACACACAATACCCCATAATAACAAAGCAAAAACAGATTTTTAGAAATTTTAGCAAGTGTATTACAAATAAAAAACGGAAATATTACATTTACATAAGTATTCAGACCCTTTACTCAGTACCTTGTTGAAGCACCTTTGGCAACGATTACAGCCTTGAGTCTTCTTGGGTAAGACGCTACAAGCTTGGAACACCTGTATTTGGGGAGTTTCTCCCATTATTCTCTGCAGATCCTCTCAAACTCTGTAAGGTTGGATGGGGAGCCTCGCTGCACAGCTATTTTCAGATCTCTCCAGAGATATTCGATCGGAGAATCTTGTTTATCATGGTCTGAGAGTATTTTAGGTGCCTTTTGGTAAACTCCAAGCGGGCTGTCATGTGCCTTGTACTGAGGAGTGGCTTCCGTCTGGCCACTCTACCATAAAGGCCTGATTGGTGGAGTGCTGCAGAGATGGTTGTCCTTCTGGAAGGTTCTCCCATCTCCACAGAGGAACTCTGGAGCTCTGTCAGAGTGACCATTGGGTTCTTGGTCACCTCCCTGACCAAGGCCCTTCTCCCCCGATTGCCCAGTTTGGCCGGGCGGCCAGCTCTAGGAAGAGTATTGGTGGTTCCAAACTTCTTCCATTTTAGAATGATGGAGGCCACTGTGTTCTTGGGGACCTTCAATATTGCAGATATGTTTTGCTACTCTTCCCCAGATCTGTGCCTCGACACAATCCTGTCTCGGAGCTCTACAGAAAATTCCTTCTATCCACATGGCTTGGTTTTTGCTCTGACATGCACTGTCAACTGTGGGACCTTATATAGACAGGTGTGTTCCTTTCCAAATCATGTCCATTCAATTGAATTTACCACAGGTGGACTCCAATCAAGTTGTAAAAACATCTCAAGGATGATCAATGGAAACAGGATGCACCTGAGCTCAATTTCGAGTCTCACAGCAAAGGGTCTGAATACTAATAAGGTATTTCATTTTCTTCTGTTTTCACTTTGTTATTATGGGGTATTGTGTGTAGATTGATGAGGATTTTTATTTATTTAATCCATTTTCGAATAACAAAATGTGGAAAAAGTCAAGGGGTCTGAATACTATCCGAATGCACTGTACGTGTGTGTCACCATAACAGCTACCTAAGTTTAGGTTTGGGTGTGCTGAGGATGCTGTCCGTCTCTTCCATCTCAGGTCCACTGTCAGAGGGGTTGTACATCTCCAGACTGTCATAGAGCTCATCAAGATCCTCCTCCACCTCCTGGATTTGTTGACTAGATACATGCTCCAGACCAAAACCCACCTACACACACACACACACACACACACACACACAAACCTATTACACAGGTATACAGAAGCATAGCTCACTCATACCAACATCAGAGACGTAGAGGCATAGACAGAGTCTTATAACGCACAAACATGCACAGTGAAGGAAAAAACACGAAAGACTTCCAGTTGTATTACCACATCTCTCTCTATCTTTTTGTCTCTCATACACACTTGTGAGTAGACCAACACCTTCAATTGCAATTATAAACAAGGTGTTCAGAGATGTGTGAAGGAAGTGAAACAGAGAGGGGAAGGTGTAGGTGTAAGAGAGAAAGTAAAGAGTCGGAGTTTGTGTGAAGAATATT